GCCCCACAGGTTTCTAATGCAATCAACTTGACCTTATGGATTTCTCAATGCAATTATCTAACATCACAATTTTTCAATGCAATATGAAAAAGAAAAAAATAGTCCTACAATATCTGAGAAAAGATAAAAGATAATTGACATTACCTGAGATATATTACAATATATTTATATGTTTGATACATTCATAAAATCTAGAGGACTGACCCTTATTTATACTAACCATAACTAACTAATTAGGAAAGTAAATTATAATAAGATAAGGAAATATGAAAATCAGGATATGAGGAAATAGAGAATTAATTTCAAAGGATAATTGAAAATATGATAAATATTTTAGGATATTTCCATGCATTCTAACAATGAATTTGGCTTGGCTTCTCATTTTTAAAGGAGAAAGAAGCCTAAAAAAGTCGGGCAAACAATATCTTGTATTTTGGATAAAAGAATTCATATGTTGATTACACGTTGATGTCTTATGTTGGGTAACACATGTAAAATGTGAGCTATTACAGATTCTTAGTTAATTAGCAAAATGGATTTGTATGTAATTGATATTGTACATAGTATAAATTTACGGCTGTGTAGTCTGATTAAGGGGCATTGCTCATAAAAATTCTGCATCTTTAAATTCATGTCCTTCTCTTAAATAGTAGTATGATATTTTCATTCTTTCATCCTTTCATGAGTTTGCATATAGAAAGAAGGAAAATTGGCTTAGCTTGCAAACCCAGTCTTTATTTGTATACAAGTGAAACTGCATTCATGTCTCTATGGAATGTGATGAAACTTTAAGTGAACATTTAATATTGTTCAATAGGCATTGCCAGAGTACTCTATAATGACTTGAGCAATCATCTCCCTTGAGTTAGCTTGTAAGGTTAAGTGTCATTGATCTCAATTCTATCATGGTTCCCACACTTGATGATGGGCCATCTACAAATGTGTAATTTTGTATTTCCATTAGTTATGGGCATGAGGGTGGGTGTTAAAGATCCCACATTGGCTAAGCATATCTCTAAAGTATTCTTAGAATGACTTGAACAATCCTATTCCCAAGCTTGGTTTTAAAGTTCAGTTAGGCACAACTTTTTCTCAAATGGATTAACTATTCCAAAATCTTAAATAGTTAGGTGACCACTTGAATTGTTTTAGTTTACCTATCTAGCATGCCCCCTTCTCAGAAAAGCCCTTTAGGCCTGAAGCATAAACAATACACGACCAAATTGATTATGCCCTTGGTTGATAGTTAATTAAGAATAGCTTTAGTAATCTCGTATGTCCACAATTACATTCTAACATGCCTAATGCTCTATTAATCTCATATTCATCAAGTTTGGTAAAAGCATAATCATTCTTAAATTTAATTTTGGGCTTAACTCTAAAAGCTAATTTGTAGGATGAGAATTGCTTTGATCTTTAGAAGCTTTTTAGCCGTATTTGAGTCAATGTGCAATCATAATACATCTCTTACTCAGGATTGGGTATCTAAAATGTACAAATTGTAAGACTTTTTTTATTGCACTAGATAAGTCACGGGATCAGAACTGCAGGGCTAAGTAAATTGCTCTGGGAAGTTGAAGTTGCGGGATTGGGTTAATTGCAGTGGAAAAATCTATGTAGTTAGGTTGATTTTTTTTACAGTCAAAGATAGTTGAACATCAATTTTGTGATAGACCAATATCATCTTAAATTTAATCTCTGGTCTAATATAACTCCAAAATTAGCTTACAAGTTAAGAATTGTTTTAACCTTTATAAGCTTTATTTTGACCATATTTATAGTCGATAAGAGATTTCAACAATTATAATTGCTAAAAATATTAAGAAACACTTGAGTCAATTTATTTTATTTTTTTTCCAAATCTAATCTAATTTGATAACAATCCTAAATTCTGAACAACTTCATCAAGGACATTTTGATATTAATCATTAGGAAACTTTGTTATTGTTAAGCTTATGTTCATGTGTTTAAACATTGCAATTTTCAATCACCGCAATAACATTTAACAAATTTATTGAAGTATATATCTTAAATTTTTTCCCTACAGATGTACAGCAGTGGTAACCCAACAAACATTGCAAACCCCATTAAAGATGTTAGCTTTCAGGTTGATATCAAGACAGTAAGTGGAAGGTTGAATTTGTATCAAACTACTCTATGCGAAAGAATCCGGTGGGATTCACTAAATTCAGATGTCAATCCTGATCCCTATGGCTATTTGGATGCATATAATAAGAATGATATCCAATTGATATGCTGTCAAGCTGATGCTAGTACATTGTGGCTTGTTCCACTTGTTGTTAGGACCAGATTGATTCAGTCCCTTGAATGGAATGCTGACATGGAAATTTTTTTCACGTGGATGCTTTCAAGGGACAGGCCAAAAGGGAAAGAAGTTGTGAAATATGAAAAATCTGTTGATCCTCAATATCTTCCACGACAGTCTGATGTTCAGAAGGTTCTTAATGGCTCTATGAATAGCTTTAGAATTTATAATGTCTATCCAAGATATTTCCGTGTCACTGGTTCAGGCGATGTTAGACCTTTGGAAGAGGTAATCATATTCCAAGTACTTATCTTGAATTAGCATTTTTTCTTCTTTTTATTGAACTAACTTTTGTGTTTCTTCCTTCAATTATTGGTTGCATTTTATTTTATATATTTGAGATAATTGTGGCATATTTGCATTCCATGGGTGACTGCCAGAAGCTAATAATCTTTTGTTGCCTACTGGTGCAATCTTTCCCATAACTCTGGAAATTTTCCTTCTAACTACTGGATATAATTAGAAACTAGTAAAATTTTTAAATCAAGTGATAATTGATTGTTGTAATAACTGTATATGTTTGCCTGGAATGTTCCTAAATTACTATTAGAAAATTTAAATTCAAGTTCAAATTTTCAGGATAATGCTGTTAGTGCTGATCTCATTATAAATCGTGAGCAATTTGAGTGGTGGGCCTTCCTAGATATTAATCCATCAAATTTAAGTGGATTTTGTGGAGGTTTGACGGGACCTATGGCAATTATTGTGTCCGAGGAGACGCCACCACGTAAGTTGGCCATGTCATTATACGTGTGTGTGTGTGTGTTGGTTGGGGGGGGAGGGGGAGGGGTTAGAATGAAATTACAATAGGTATTAAATTTAGTATGATAGCATATTCAATAACTTGTCAAAAATAATTTTTATCAATCTATCCATTACTTTTTAAAATTTTTATAAAGTATATCAAGTTTATAAAATTTCACACAATTTTAATACTAATACTTCATTATTCCACCATATTTGAATAGATTATATATTTATTAAAATATAAGTAAATAGCTACTATTAGGTTACATACTCTCGAATGTTTAAATTGTGTAAATATTTGTATGCAAGATTTTCATGATAATATTACAAGAATGAGTGATTAGAATCAAAAGTTTGACACTTGGTATTATTTGATCCTAATCTTGTGTATGTATTCACGTCCATGGTTGATTTTATTTCGTAATAATACCTTGTACAATATTTCTCAATACTGCCTGGTTCATTTTATTTCCTGATAATACCTTGTACAATCTTTTCCACATCGTAATACTGCTTCAGAGGGTATTCTTGGTGACACACTCAGCAAGTTCAGTATATGGGGGCTTTACATAACCTTCGTTCTAGCCGTCGGTCGTTTCATCAGACTCCAGTGCTCTGACTTAAGGATGAGAATACCCTATGAGAACCTACCTTCTTGTGACAGGTATTGCAGATTTCTTACCTGAAGCTTGTTTAGCCATTTAAACGAGGCAGATGTCATTGAACATGAGTTATTCTACTATAGGTTGTTAGTAACCCTCTTTACGATACATCCCATTATAACATTACTTCTTGTTGCATACTTCTCATGTAGGTTGATAGCCATCTGCGAGGATATATATGCTGCAAGAGCTGAGGGTGAACTTGGAGTTGAAGAGGTCCTTTACTGGACTTTAGTGAAGATATATCGGTCCCCACACATGCTGCTTGAGTACACCAAACCTGATTAAACCTTCAGAGTATTATTTTGGTCACTAACAGCTAACCAGGCTCAATGCTCACATGATTACGATTAATATTCGCAACTTTTTTGGTGTGGTATTCATTATGCGGTAATGAAACATTTCTCTGACAAATTGGCGAGGACGGCATATTGATTCATTACTGATTATACATGACACTGATTATTTTTTTTTTGGGCAAAAAATGTATACAATGTACAATACAGTTATTGTCAGTGTTATAGTGAAGCAAATTTGTATAGTTATCCAAGAAGAGCGATGTTCTCTACCCCTTCTCTCACCTTTAAATCATAAAGCAGCAAGACCAAGCCACAGCCGAAAGACAATGAAAATTAGAATCTCTGTTTAATAATTCCATGACTGCTCAACAAAATCTCATGCCTGGTCTTCTCAATTCTAGTAACTTTTTTATTAAAATTGTAACATTAAATGTTTTTAATGTTATTTTTGTAGTTTCTAATAAAAACTTACTATATATTGTGATTGTATGTTTTAAAGTGCATATTAAAAAAATCATTCAATATTGTAACACCAATATACGTTGCAACAACAAAGATGTCATAATAATAATAATAGCAACAAGGAGGATGATGCTTATGGCTACCTAGTTACTTTTAAATTTCTTTTCCTTGATTACCTTCACAAACGTCGTTCTACTGCAGAGCATTGATTCCTTATTTAATGTCACTCCACCATTAATATCATATTTTAATTTCTCCTTATTGACTACTAAAGAACAATGCCAGTAATGCATTTTCTTTTTAATTTATTGAGAGAACATGTTTCCTAAGGAAATAAAAAGTAGACCTAAACTTTTTGAAATTTAGTGCAACTAGAAAAGGCACATTATATTTCATTTTATCAATAGAATGATTCTAAGTCATTCAATAAAAATGAAATCAAAGGCAAGAAAATGGGTGTAGGTCCGAAGACTTGCTGCTGATTTGAAATTCTTAATTGCTTTATGGATCAAATAAGTTCTAAAGGAGTAATTAGCGATTCCCCTCGCAAGGAGCTGTCACAATAGAGGTTAATAAAACAACAGGGGAAAAGAAACCTGGTGCTAAACATGACAATACCAGTGCATCGAATATTACAGTGAATATCTTTTCGGGCGTTCTGTTTTACATTTGAACCGCACAAGAGGTGGCGATCCCACTTAAACTACATAATAAGTATCGATTAAAATAAAATAAAAAGACACAACTACAAAATTTGTTTCGATGTCACTGGGTCTGGTTTTACCTAGCAGTCTCTAGAGTAAATATCTTACAAACCAACCAAAATGATCATCTCCAGCAGCACGCAAACTTTGAGATCATATTTCTCAAACATCATATTTGGCTATCTTAACTTTTTTGTTAGCAGATTCTTTTTCCTTCTGCTCAACAATCTCTGGGATGGTGTCTTGCATTATCTTTGGGGATGAAAAATCAAAATCTGTAACAGATACACCTTGAAATTCTGGATTATCTTTTAGATATGCAGCTATCTCATTGCGGGTTCTCAGCTTTTTGCCTGTAGGTGTGATGTAGTAAGCATCCAATTTAGAGTAATCTTTTCTAAGTACCAAGCTTCTCCTAAAACCTTGGGGAGTCTTCGGGAGGTTAGGCTTGTCAATGACCCATGTCCGAGTGGAATCATATTCAATATCACCAGGATCATCACAGGAACTATTAGCCTTTCTGCTGCAAAGAAAAGGTTCCCGAGTAACTTTGCTTCTAATCTCTTCAAACTCTTCTTGTGTATCTATCACTCTCCATTTCAAGCAATTTTTGCACTGTGCAGCATATATATCCACTGAACCCTGACTTGACAGTGTTCTCTGTCACAATAATTTGCCAGCAGTTTAGAAAAAGCAGCACACATTCAACTCTTTGATTAAACCCAATGATGACTTCATATTCCAGATTTCGCAAATATGCAAACTTGCATTTCAATTTTCAATCAATAAGCACACCCTTGCATGAATGCGCGCGCGCGTGTGTGAATCTAACAGCTTCCTTCTTTTCAGTGGCAAAAACACATATTGGCCATTCACACATACCAGCAGCAAAACAATTCAACACAAGAAGTATTGATTGATAACGCAAACTCTACTCCACCAAAGTTTATCAAGCAAATACTAATTACTAACTAATCTACTAGGGAATTGTGAACGAACCCATTCAAAACAGCAAATTAACATTTTCTTTTCTAGGCATATCCTCTCATGTGAGAGGTGAGAAATAAATCTCCAAGATAAGTCAATAGTAATTTTTCCATAGACAGAGATTCCAGAATCAAACAACATTACATGTTTAAGGGATCCCAATCCTTCCTCACTCGAAATAATCTAAACACAATAAAGAGCAACTTCATTAAAAAAATGCATACCCATGTCAATGACAGACACCATAATACCATTCACCTACAACACAAAGCCAACCAATACAATTGACAGAGGAAAAAGCAATTTTTTACAGTGAATCCACGAAAACTGAAGAAGAAAGAATCAAACGATGAAGTTCAAAGCAAGGGATCTCGTGTAATGAAAAACCCTAATAGAAAATTAAAAAGAAAAAGAGGGAAATAGGTTAAGAAGAGAGATGGTACCTTTGAAGAGGAAGGTGTTCTAGAGATTTCTTGACCGCCCCTCATTCATTCACATCATAAATTGCTTCCCTTTCTCTTTTCAACTCTAAATCAAATTTCCATTCTGCTGTTCATACCCTCCCCATTTATAGACCACTGTTCTGCTGTACGCTTTTACTTTTTTACATAATATGAGTTTATTTATCAATTTAACTAATCAGTTCAAGTATTTAAAATAATATTTTTTTAAATATAATAATAATAATAATATATCCTTTTAAATAAATTTTTAATATACTTTATTTGATTCGTCTATTTTAAAAAAATTAAAAATATTTATTTTATAAATTGATTTTCTTAAATTTACTTTATCTTTTTAAAAAATTAATTAATCACAAAAAATATATTAAAAATTTGTAAACTTGTGTGACTTAAATTTAAAGATTAAAGCTAATAAGACTATTTATTTATTGTTGTGATTTGAGTTATTCATAGATAAAAACTCGTTACTGGTAAAAAAAATAAAATTGTAAACTTGTGTGACTTAAATTAAATAAAATTTTCTGTGTCTATTAATAGGGTGCAAAATACTGAGATACTCGTACTTACTGGGATTGAGATATTCATCCATATGAATAAAATTATTAAAATATCTTTATATCTACTAAAATAAATCTGATCGTAACTTTATTATTTTATAATAATTATGATTTTTTACTTAATATTGTGTTATTGTTATCGAAACAAAATTATTATACTGCTTTTAAAAATTCAAGTGTTTTATTTATTTTTATTGTAGTTTTATATATAAAATTTTAAGATATATTAAATTAGGTATTTATAATCTTTAAATAAATTTCACGGATACTCATTAATATTTATAAATAACATATATTCATTTAAAACTCGTTTAATGAGTATAGAGTAAGTACGAAATAGATTTTTTTATTTTTTATTTTTTACATATGAAGGTTTTTTTATATATAGTTTTTTTTTTCAAAATTACTAAAACATAGGATTTTTAACAAAATTATAGAAATATAATTTTATTTAAATTATTACTGGTGAGTTTTCACTGTTTTTTATTTTTTAAATATTTTACTATCATTTTAAAAATTGTTATTAGTGACTTTTTTATTATTATTATTTTTTTTTTGAAAAATTGTCGTTGACAATTTTTTGAAAATTTATCATTTTTAATTGTTTATCTTTAAATTTTAATAATTACACCAAAAATTGCTATTGACAGTTTTTAAACTCCATATTTTTATAATTTTTCAAAAAATTACTATATTTCAATATATATAATTTCTAAATACTATATATAAAAATAATAATCCACTGTGAAGGTAGTGAATATTTATTATTCATGTCTACCTTACCCTATTAGGAATAGTAAAATGAGTTGGGGTTGATGAGCTACCTCACATAACCACCAAAAATAGTGGGTTGGATAATGTAGGCCAAACAATAGGTTGAGGTAGGTCAATTCATCAGACTCACTTTAACTTTAAAAAATGAAATATAAAATTTTAATTAAAATATAAAAATATTATTTATAAATTTTTCTTTTTTATAATTATTGATTTCAAGCAAGCTGACCTATGATCTATTGGCTCACCAATGCACTTTTTTTAGGTTGGTCTGTCATCTTTAAAGAGATTAATCTAATCCAATTTAAAAAACAATGAATGGTATAAATTGGCCTATTTTTTTTTTAAGGTATGGCCAGTTAACCCACTTTATCACCCTTATACTTCAATTGACATCTTTAATGATGATTTTCTCAAGTTTATATATAAAAATTTGTATAGTATTGTGTAAAACTATTTATGAGAAAAATTTAAAGTAAGTATTATATTATATTTAATGTTAGTAATATTTTGTGTAAATTCAATTATTTATCTATCAATGAATGAAAAAAATTGTCAAACACAAGTTGAGAATTTACTCAAAGTTATTTTATTGATAAGAGTTTAAATATTCAAATTTGATAAAGTAGCTTGAATAATTGATAATTTGATATAGATTGATTTCTAAATAACTCTTATATTTTTATAGTCATTTATTTTATCGTATATTTTATATTTTTTTTATCACTTTATTTATTATATTATTGTTTTATCATCCATTTGACAATTCAAACATGAAATATTAAAATATAAGTTTTTTTTTATAAATTTAAATATTGAAGCAAAACCTTAAATTGGCTTAATAAAACTGACTTAATAAAAATACACCATTTTAATGTGTATTCAATGATAAAAATAAAAAAATATTACATTAAATATTTTAATACAATTTTTCTATTTATTAAATTTTTAATACATTACTCACCATGTGGGTGTATACTTGAATACATATTTTTATGAGTAATGCTATATTTTTTATATTATATTTTTATTGATTTTTATATATTTTATAAGATAAATATTAAATAAAATTATGGAATCAATTAATATTTTATAAACATAAAGACATTTAATTATTTTTCATTAAATGAAGAACTTTTTTAAATCTTCTAATATTTTATTTCGAAAAATTCACCTAATTATTAAGTATAGAAAACATTTAATATCTTTTTTTATGTTTACCATATAATAAATACATATACTTTTTCATTTAATGTTTAGTTTATAAAATATTAAAAGAGTTATTAAAAAATAAACAGAAGGATAAGCTAAGTGAAAAAATATTAAATATTTTTTTTATTTTTTAGATAATAAAAATATACTTTTTCATTTAATGTTTCATTTATAAGATTTTAAAAGGATTTTTTATTTTTAAGATAATAATTGAATTGAAATTTTATAAAAAATTATCATTGTTGGTTTAAGTGGCAGGGAGTTTTATTTTTAAAGTTAGATATTGTATTATTTTTAAATCACAAATAAAGAAAATAAGTGAATTTTATTCAATTAAATGAATTATTACATTAAATAATCAAAATTTGATATAAAATTTTATGAAAAGATTAAAGAAGAATATTTGGGATAGAAAATTGGAATCTTAGAAAAGATGTGAGAGTGGTGTTCACCTAAGTTGAACATAAAAGCCAAACAAAGTTAATTACAAGTAAAATAGTTAGCACTTAATCTAGTTGCTGCTCTGCCCCTTATGCATTAAAAAAAATAGGAAAATTTCATTTCCATTTCAAAACTCAAAGAAAGTGAGACTGAGGAACAGACGCACACACAAACTCGCGCGCGCACTTTGACACACAAATACACACACACATCCCTCTCTCTCTCTCTCTCTCTCTCTCTCACACACACACACACACACACACACACACAAAACACAAGACAAGTGTTAAAGCAAACTCCTTTAATAGCAAAGTTCGCAAGACATTGCTACCGTCCAAAGATATTAATGTATTCCCTTATTTTCTGGGTTTGTCTTAAATAGATATAATCAAATTGTATGTGGTTTGTTTCGATGGGTTTCTTTCTGAGCTGGACATTGGGTTTTTCCTGCATCAATTATCGTTTTCTATGATGGGTTGTCAATGTTCTATTGGTATAAGGGTGCACTTGGCTTCCATGCTCTGTCTCTGCTTTGACTATATAAGCTTTGCTCAAAATTTGTTTGTTTAAGGAGTTTCAATACTAACAAGGTCTCATTTTGGAGTTTGGGACATAGGAAAATTTTAATTTTTTTCTCCGCCTTGCTGGTCTGAGCAAAGGTATGGTTTTTTTCCTTCTTCTCTTGTTAGATTGAGGTCCCTTATTTTTGTTGATATTTTTTTATTCCAATAGTAAATTTTATTATTTTCTACTCGATGTTGATTTGAGAGGTTTTATTTGCATTGGTGTTACTTCTATATGAATTTCGTTTAGTTTCTTTGATTTCCCTTCTTCCTACTTCTCACAGTCTGTTTTTAATCCTCTATCCACACTATTTTTTACCTATGTTCTATCTGTAGGTAAAAGTATTGTGCAATTCAATTTAATTGTTCGTAAAATGGATAAAACGGTTGGTGAGGACAAACGGGATAAAGGGTGGAAGAACAAGCGAAAATTAACTCATCCTTCTATAATTCCTTCTGGTTTCTCTTCATCTCTGATTAAGTTCCCTCAGTTTGATTTACCAATTTCACAAAATAGCTTAAATGAATTTATTTCATCGGAGTTATGGTCAAATTGGTATAGAGAAGAAGAACATGAAGTGCGTGTGCATGAGCTTGTGGATTGGAATGATCCTATAGCTAACCAACTTGAGGAATTATTGTTGTCTAACTTGCAAGATATTTTTCGTGGCGCAACCAAGCAGGTTGTTGAATTGGGGTATAATGAAAAACTGGTTGAAATGTCCATTTCAAGGAAGGCCCTATACATAGAGGAAGAAAATTGTGTCTCAAATATTGTACATGAGACACTGAATGTTCTAAATGGCAAAAATTATAGTAATATGGACTTCGTATTTGAAAGTTTTCAGCACTTGTTGTATTACACCTTTGTGGAGATGATCAGTGTACTTCGCGAAGTTAGACCCTCCCTAACAGTTGGTGAAGCAATGTGGGTTTTGCTGATATGTGACTTGAACCTTCCACTAGCTTGTTCAGGAAAGGATCGTTTGAGCAATGCTGTTGATAAAGAGGGAAGCTCCACTAGTTCTTCCAACCTTCAACCAAAGGCTGAGGATGCTTCATTGTTAATCACTGCAGATAAATCCTCTAGAACTTCAGGGGAGTGTAAACCAGGATCTTGTTCTAAACGACATAGTAGAAAAGAAATAGCAGCACTAAGGCAGAAATTCTTACACATGGAGAAAGCCTGCATGGCTTGTGGAAAAGGGGATCTTAAATCAGCGAAGATTGCAAATGTTAGTAGTGGTTTGATTCTTGAAAAAAGACTCAAGCCACCATCTGAAATTCCTAATCAGCAAATGAAATGTGGCTCCTCAAATGCGATAAGCATAAAAGGATTTAGTACAACAAATATAGTGTATCCTGTTTCAAGCAATGATACTTTTCCTGTAGTGAAAGCAAATACTCCAATAGCTGGCAACATGTCCAAACCAAAATCTGAGCCAAGCTCTTCTAACATTCAAAAGTTTATTGATTATTGTGTTGGTATTCCCTTTGATGAGTCTTTGGGTAAGTATGTCCCGCGAGATGAAAAGGATGAATTAATTTTGAAGTTAATATCTCGAGTGCAAGAATTGCAGGATGATCTTCAAAGTTGGAACAAATGGACAAATCAAAAGGTTATGCAAGTTACTGATAAGCTTAGCAAGCTACAGGTTGAGTTTAAAACTCTGAATAAGGAAAAGCAAGATGTGGAAATGCTTAAAAAAGATAAGAAAATTTTGGAGGAAAATGATATGAAGAGGATCACTAAAATGGAGAGTGCCATGGAAAATACTAAAAAGCAAATAGAGAATGCTACTTCGACTACTCTGGTGCTAAAGGCAGAAAACTCCTTGCTAGAGAAAGAGTTAGATGCTGCTAAATTGTGGGTTGTAAAGTCAACGACAAGCTATGAACAAGCACAAGAGAGAGAGCAGATGGCTCTTAAACAGATCCAGTCATGGGAAAGCCAGATAGGATTGCTTCAAGATGAGCTTGAAAGAGAAAAGAACAAATTCTTCCATTTGCAACAGAAGCTAGACAAAGAGAAAAATCTTCAAGCCAAGGTTGAGGTATGTGACACTGAATAAGACACTACTTATTGACAAGTAATATCAAGATATGTTTTGAGTAAAATATGTGGAGTTTACTTTTATATATTATCAACATCTATCTTTAGCGCCTTTACCTCTGATGATCTTTATTACTATGACAGTCTTACCATCACCTTAGCACCCCTTTTGGACATGCATAGGCACCTTGAATACATTAGGCACCTTATGGTATATGCACAATCTAACATGTAAAATTTTTGATTGTTTCTATTGGTAAAGTTAATTAGTGTATTAGGTTCAATCTAGAATTCAATTGAATTGAAATATAGAAGTTGTGCATTATCAGCAGCATATCACACAAATCTTCCTATGCAAGCAATTTTTTGAACACGGATGTACAGCACACACCGAGATGATACAGATTAAGTGAGAGGTTATGTATATAACATACACACACACATACAAGTGCCATGTTTAAATAATAGGATTTCTGTTGTCAAATAGTTTATAATGCCACCTTTGTACTATAATTGGTGGAAATGTTGCTTACAGGGAAGATTGGCAAAAGCGAGAGCAATGAAAGAAAAGCTCATAGCACAGGCTACATCCATTAAAAAGGATAGAGAACAACTCGAAGCACGTGCAAAATCTGAGGAAGATATGATCAGAAAAAAGGCAGCCAATGATCTACTGAAATATGTGGAAGATATTGCAATGCTAGAGAAAGAGTTGGTTGACTTGAAGCTAAAATTTGATTCTGAAAAAATAGCATCACTTCGTAGGCCTGTTGATGAAAGATATGATAATTCCTCAAGCACTAGAAAGAGTAAACCAAACAAGAAGGGAAACAAACAATCTTATATGTCTCAAATGACAGTGAGTTGCCAAGACAAATTGGAAACTGAAAGCTTGAGGAGGGAGCAAGAGTGTGTCATGTGCCTATCAGAGGAGATGTCAGTTGTTTTCCTGCCATGTGCACATCAGGTTCTGTGTCCAAAATGCAATGAACTCCATGAGAAGCAAGGGATGAAGGAGTGCCCTTCATGTAGGACCCCAATCCAACAAAGGATTCATGCTAGATTTGTTTGGCGTTAGAGAATGTAGACTTCTTGGATAATAGGAATCGTGGAGAAGCACATTACTGGAAATATTTATGGTTTTGTTTTTTAAAACATAAATCAGTACAATGAATTTCAATGTTGTAGAGTATTAGATTTTTCAAATGGATCTTCCTTTTTCTTATTCTCAAGTTGTTTTACAATATGTTTGAAAGAGCTTATGTTTACTTCTGAAAACAATTTTTTTTAAATTCTTATGGGTTATTTTCATCTTATTCAATAAACTTGTTATAATTTATCAAAATAAATTATTTTCAGTTTATTCAAATAATTTTCATTGTTAAATTTATAACACAAGTTATTATCACTTAATAAAATATGTATCAAAGATACCTAATTATTAATTCACATCTAATGTATCTGATTATTGAATTAATAGAGTCTTACGAGTAAGAGGTTTAGGTATCTTTAATATTCATTTTTGTAATTTAAAGTGTATAAAATTATTTTAATTTAAACTATTTATTTCATCTTTTTTTAATTAAATCAATTAAATATTTTATTTGTTTCAAATTAACTATATAATTCTTATTCAAATTTGGTGATCATGTCCTATCACCTATTTAATGATTTAATATCCTATTAACAAGAAAATTTTGTATGGTTCAAGATTATGATAATTTTTCTAGAAAAAAAAAAAAGACTGATTATTCCAATCAATAAACAAGTGACATGTATATATTTTTTTATACATGTCAAAATTTGAGTGGCTAGAACAAGGCAGTTTTAAATTACACAATAATTTCTTTTTCTTAATGAAAATTTTGAAAAGAAAAATTGAAGCGTTAATAATTCTTTTACTTTATTTACTTTTTATTGCACATGAATTTGGTTATTCAATTAATTTTTAAAATTCAAATATTTGAGGATTTATTATAAATTTTGGACACTGAAAAATTAATAAAAGTTTGATGAAATTTGAAGAATTTAGCAAGATTTGAGATCAAGATTTTAGGAGGAAAATTTAAAATTTTTATTTAGTTTTAAATTTTATATTTTGATTGGTAATTTTTTTTAAAAATAATTTAATTAATTGAATTTGTACAGTTTTGAGTAAAAAAATGAGAATTTGAGAGTTTTATATGGACAAAATTTTGAAATTTCTTTATCATAATTTAAAAATTAAATTTATTATTTTTAAATATTGAGAGACTGAAATTACATATTATCTATGATAAAATAATTAAAATTATAATTGAGTCAAAATTAAAAATTAATAAAATTTGAAATTAAACGGATTATTTTAATCAAAATTGTCCCTTAATAGGTATTTTATTATTTTTTTAAGTTTTAAATCGCACAAGTCGATATGTCCGAGTGGTTAAGGAGACAGACTTGAAATCTGTTGGGCTTCGCCCGCGCAGGTTCGAACCCTGCTGTCGACGCCTTCTTTTATGTCGTTTAGATTTTTTCGTGGTACAGTACTTTGAACTTCAAGTGTAAAATAAAAGTAACTGTTAAAAAATTATTATATCATCATTTGTTGTATAAATTTGATTGTAGAAATTGAAATAAATTTATAAAAGTTATACATTTTATCTCTTCTATCTCTTCTTTTTACATCTCTTTTATCTCTTCTTTTTCATACACTCTGCTATGGTCCACATTTCTCTGTTATGCAAGGTGTACATTGTGTGTCTGTGCCATTAGTCATCGATGTTCAATGTTCCATTATCTACTCACTTTGGGTTTTGAGGCTGTAAATTGTCCACATATTCCTAGCAAATCAATTTTTTCTTTTTTATCAAGCTTTTGGGGCAGTATATTAAAGCTTAATTTGTGCACTTAAGCATCACAAATAAAAGGCCTAGATCGCCAACAATGATTGGTTTATTCATAATATAATTGTGTTATTCTGGTCCTTTGGAGTTTGGACCTACCCAGTTCAAGTTGTCTACTGTAGATGGGTTACACACACGAAATACGAATAAAATACAATTACATAAGGGACCAGAAGTTGGGTATATAATGCAGTTCACATGAAAATATATGTAAAGTATATGGCTGCAATGGTGTTAATTAGGGAGTAGGGACACGTTACACCACTGGTATCGAGTTCCGTTGCTCTGGCCACGAATTTGGCTTCTGCATTAATGACCCTCTTCAACGATCTGAGCTATCAACAAAGACATATAGAACCATCTTCCAACAACAAAACTCAGGACATGATTCAATGTTGTCAATTTTGGGTGCTCAATTACTTGTCTTTGAGTTGGAACACGAGAAAAAAAGTGATAATTTGAGCCAATAGCTTGACATTTCCTTTCAGATCAGTCACTGAGGCAATGAAATAATGAATGAATTCTGTGTCCAATTAATTAAATGTTATCATAATCATATGACATTCCTTGAGGAGTTGATACAGGAGTACTTGTTTTTAAAATGTGAAACTACCCCTTCAAAATTCTCGCATTCAATATTATATTGTATATAGGCGATACCTATTGACCATATCATATAATAATGAGTATAGAGTTGGCTAGCTAAAACTGATTAAGGGTTCATGAATTATTGATTTATGCGCAAGATCTGTATAGCATTAAGATTCTTTTATTTGTAGAATGTGTTTAACTGGACTCTCTGATCCATTGACTTTTGTCAAGAAACCCTAATTCTTTATAATAGCCTCTGAAAACTGAAAACTAGCTTGGTTTTTTCAAGGCGTGTCATTAGGAATTAAAAATGCAGAAACCGAGAGAAGGGTCATTTGACTCTCCCCTCATTTTCATGTTCACTGATAAGTGACCACATTCTAAATAAAACATGTTATCACCTAGAGCATTAGGAGCACAGGTCCTAGTTTACAAATTGTTGGAATCAATACGTTACAAGATTATTTAATTATAGACCTAAAATTTTGTCACAAACTTTAATATGAATAAACTGTCTCGTAAGTAAGATTAAGGGAAAGGAACTTCCACAATGTGACAAAGCCCTCTTTGTGAATTTACAGTGTCTATGTGAGCTTCGAATTCCAAATCTATGCATTTGGCATTTGATACACAGCATGTCCAGCTAGACCTACATTATTAATTATATCAACAAACAGAAACATATAGTGTACCTTACCTAATGTTTGTTTATATTTAAATCATTGACTACTTAAGTGGATTCCATTAAATTGACATTTTCACACTATTATGCAAGCCCGGGCCTAGAATCACCCACATTTTGAAGAGGCCATTCCTCGTGTCTTTCTCTTTCACTCTTCTTATTGTCATGCTTCTTTTTTCTACAGAAAGGGACAATACGTGATGATTAGTTTTACATTTTATCTATCTATATATTATTTTTTCCTGCGCCTTTGTGACTGTTGTACGTTAAGTCATGAGTGTGTAGGGTACATTTGAAGAAGACCTTCCTGTTTTACTACATGATTTTTAATTCATTACCTAATGGCCGATGCAAGTCCAAAAGTTGAGCATGAAAATGGATTCGAATCCATTTTTTATAAGATGACACTACCATATTAGGAAAATAATCTTTTCACACCCCTAAAATGTGGAAGAGAAGAAAAAAGAAGAGAGAACAAGTAAAAAATGTGACCAAAAAAGATAACTAGAAAAAGAAGATGAAGAATGAATGTGCAAAAAAGTGAAACTCAAACATCATATTATTTCTCTGCAAAATTAGTGGACCTGTGCACAGATAATGAAACATCATTCACAAAAGAAACATTAATGCAATTAATAGGATGAAACTCAAGCAAGGTGACGATTCACAAAGAAAAAAGAATATTGTACAAATTGTTGTAGAATTTCATCGTAGGAATATAATTTCACTTCATATTTTATCTTTTCAATGTTGTCGTGTAGCAAATGCGTAGCGTATTTATCCTGCTAAGGAATAGGTATCGTATTGGCAAAATCAAGAACATTGTTTAAAATGATAAAGGGGATGAATGTTCACAAAGAATTTTGATGAATGATAACCATAAGAAGATTATTTTATAAGAACACTCCGGAACCCAACACACATATATTTGCAATTATCACCGAGGAAAAAGCTAAATAACTGAATTATCCTTTATTTAAAAAGTAGAACATAAAAACAGCAGAGAAAGGTGCGTGCCCATTTGGGCCATTTCCCCTGGCATTGCACTCTTATTTGCTCTTCACAAGGAATTTAGATCCATTCCAACTTCCTAAGTTGATGAAATGATTTAGGTCCCCTCATCAACCCACATTGGATGTGATTTTTATTACATAAGAGAAGTTCATACTACTAAGCTTCAGTCAACAGTCATAACAGTCTTCTCTCTGCATTATTTGGTAAAATGGTAATGTTTTGTTAGGTTCATGGGAGATGGGTACGCCGGGTTTCTTGTGACGTGGAGTTCCAAATAAGAATCTCACTTGCATGACTAGAAAGACCTGTAGTTGTTGGCTCATTTATTGTTATTAGGATTAATATTTTATGTTCCTTCTTTTCCATTTTCTTAATGGACGTACTTGTCTATCTTAGTCAAACGAGGAAAAAAATAAATAATAACAAGAGATTAACTGCCTTAGAACAATGCTATGAACTTTGCACAAATGTGTTCAACTTTTCTCTACTGAATTTTATCCATCAGCAAGTTTTGCATGTGTATATAAATAACCTTACTGTCCGTAAAGACTAAAAACGACATTGTCCTTGTGTGTGTGTCCACTAACCAACTAAAGCAAACCAATCATCATCTTTTTTATTTTTTGGGTAGCAGTTGGGGGATCCTGACAGTGGCCATAAGCATCTCTCCCTTCTCTCTTTTATCTTTGGGTTGAATAATGGCATCATCCTCAAAAACTAACTAAACTATTCTATTTCATTTAGAAATGCCAAATACCACCAACTCATTTCCTAGAAGGCCCCTTCCCCTTTTCTACTCCAACTCCGAAGACAAAGCAAGCCTTCAACTAGTTCCTTAATCTAAGCCATTTTATTTATTTACTTAGTTCCCTTCCAAGCCACTATTCTCCTAGTCCTTCCACTTCGACTCACAAAATCCATGCCCTCCAAATGCCAAACATAAGCACAAAGCAGAGTTGAAGCATCTTATGATCTCCCCAACTCAAGACCTTCTTCAGCCCCACACCCAATTTTTCATTATGCTCAAACTCCTCAACAAGAACCTCCGCCGCTTCCTATCCCATCTTGGGTGTCCAATTCGGCGCCGATCAAAGTCCAAAGTTGTAGTGATCAACAAGTTAGGAAATCAAGGCTCAAAAACCCACCCAGATAACAAACACGAACCAAGCACGAATTTTTCAGCTGCGGTTCATCCCAACGCTCAATTGGGTAGTCCGAAACCCCAGAAGCGAATCCGGGTCGCGACCTTCAACGCTGCCCTGTTCTCCATGGCACCGGCACTACCCAAGGCAGGAGAAAAAGCTGCCACCTTTGAGGATGAAAACGATGTCGCTTCGAAGCCCAGAAACCTGAATTCGCGGTCAAAGTCGATGAACGACCGCCCCAGAAGCATATTGAAGCAATCTCAATCGCAATCTCAATCGCAATCTCAATCGCAATCAGTGAACAGAACAGAAAACCTCGGCAACAAGCAACAAAGGTTAACAAAATCAAAGATGAGAGTTTCCATCAATCTACCAGACAACGAGATTTCGCTGCTGCGAAGCCGACAATCGAGCTTCTCAGAACACGACAAGGATGGGTCGTGGTCGTGGAGACACTCGACGGGAAGTGGGATCCACATGAGTAGTAGAACGGTGGTTGAGGTTCTGAGAGAAGTGGACGCTGATGTTTTGGGTCTGCAAGATGTGAAAGCCGAGGAAGAGAATGGAATGAAGCCTTTGTCGGATTTGGCTGAGGCTTTGGGTATGAACTATGTGTTCGCTGAAAGCTGGGCTCCTGAGTACGGCAACGCTGTCTTGTCCAAATGGCCGATCAAACGCTGGAATGCTCACAAAATCTTCGATCACACTGATTTCAGGTTCCTTCCTTGTTTAACCACTCTTTTCGTCTTAATCCCACACACATTTATGATCATTTTCTTCAGTGTCACTTATTTTTAAGTTACGTTAGAAAACCATTTGCACCGTTAGAAGCATGTGAACTGCTATGGTATAGAGAGAGAAAGTTCTCTAAGGATTTGGGTCAATGGAATAGGACGGAACAGGAACATGCAATTGTGTTGTATTATTTAATAATTACTTTTTAGATTTAGGAATAATATTCTATTATATTTTATCATATGTCATTTTATTTTATTTTATTTATTGTAAAATATTTAAATATATAGTATATTTGAATTAATTTATTTTATGTTTAAAATAAAATTTTATGGACAAGATTTATAAATGATTTTTAAAAATTAATTGAAACCAAACACTTCCTACGCTGACTCGCTTAAAAAAGAAGTGTGATTACTTTTACTTATAGGACATGTAGCAAGTATTTTTCCTTTAATATATTTTTAAAAGAACCAAAAAAGGTATAACCGACCTTTTGGTTTACTTTCTTGAATCTATTTCGTAGAAGCTCCTTCGTGCTTGCTGTTGCAAAGAAAAATGAAAAGATGATCTCACTTTACTGCTTATAAAGTCACCAATTATTCCAAAACTTTTCACTAAAAAAACTTCATACTCTTCCAAAACACAGAGAATATTTTTTGTTCAGTAACAACTCGTCAAACAAATGCTTAAGCAATGGTGTTTGTGCATAGCTTTACGCAAAAAGTTTAGTATTACATCAATGGTGCAACTGTTATGCACCCCTTTTATTCTTTCCTTGTTTTCTTCTACGTGCCAACGGCAATGATAGATGCACGGCATGCCAACTGTAATAGCTGTACGCAGCGAGGCAGGACTCATCCCCACCTACTCTTTAAGGATTCTCTGTTGGCAGCACTCATCAATGTTTCCTTCATATTGGTATTTTATTTTATACGGCAATCACAAATTTCTTTAACCAATTTATGATGCATATAATTTACAGTTTTTTAACTAGTGTTTTTATATATAATAATTTTTTATTAAAAATTATATGTTATTAAATATTATAATTGTTGATAAAAAATATTATTAGTTTGTTTGTTATTATGTGTCATTAGATACGTATTAAAAAATTCTATACTTTATTACTCGTTAAAATGTTTCAATAAAGGAACATCAACTTCATTGTCTTTACAGAAAACTGCTTTAAGATTCTTGTTTTAAGCAAACTTATAGATTCTTCAAACTTTCTTCCTTGAATACTACTATAACAACTCTTCTGCGATATAAATTTATTTTGTTTGTGTAAACGAAACATGCACTAAAAGCAGCATAAAATAATTTATGTTTGGTGACGAGTAAATTTGTATGATGCAATTTAGGTACGGTTTGTCATAATCTCGGAACATCCATTGCAAAAACTAATTAATGCTGCCATTTCAAGAAATAGCTAGACACACAATTTGTCTTCTCTCCAAGAATAGTCAGAATAGTATATTACTGATCTTGCTTAAAGTTCATCATAATTAAATGACGAAACTTGTCTTACTTTAGTCCTAAGGTATTTCTTGCTAATGACCGTCTACTAAAAAATGATTATAGAAATATTAGTGGAAATCCAACCTGTGAAAGCAACCAAGGTAGAATAATTCAAGAATTCTAGCATTGAAATTATGGGGTTAGAGAAGGATTGAGCAACAACGATGAATATGAATGCAAGAACTTATAATTTGATGGCACAGGAATGTTCTGAAGGCCACCATCGATGTACCTCAAGCAGGTGAACTAAACTTTTACTGCACCCACCTTGATCATCTTGATGAGAATTGGAGGATGAAACAGGTAAATGCAATAATCCAATCAAGTGATGAGCCTCATATCTTAGCTGGAGGACTTAATTCACTCGATGAATCTGATTACTCCCAAGAAAGATGGACAGATATTGTGAAGGTATATACGTAGCATTTACCTCAATTTATTTGTCTCCTTTTGTTTTTGGTTCTAAAAATAACAAAAGTAGAATTTAATTTCTTTGATTTGGTTCGTTTGTGTACAGTACTACGAAGAGATGGGAAAGCCAACACCAAAAGTTGAAGTAATGAAATATCTAAAGAGTAAAGACTACTTAGATGCTAAGGACTATGCTGGGGAATGCGAGTCAGTTGTCATGATTGCCAAGGGCCAAAGTACAAATTATACAATATTGAACCTTTTAAGCTTTTGATTTTTGAAAGTTCAACTTTGTTATTATACTATACTATACACGTTTCCTAAAGTTGTAAATATTATGTATGCAGGTGTCCAAGGGACATGTAAGTATGGAACTCGGGTAGACTACATATTATCATCCTCAAATTCTCAATATAAGTTTGTTCCCGGTTCCTATTTAGTTCTTTCTTCCAAAGGGACTTCGGATCATCACATAGTGAAAGTTGACTTAGTGACGGTAAATAACAATCCTCAAGAAAATGTGACACACAAACCTCAACATCCAAGACAGAGAGTTGTAAAAATAACACAATCCACTCCATCCAAAGGTATCTGGAAAACACCAGAGATTTAGATTGAATTCCCTCGGTTTAGATTAGTGTGATGATTATATTTTGGAAATGGGGCGTTTTGTTTTTGGTTTTTTTCCTGCTTCCTAACTCGAGTTCTGTATACAACTCTCTTCAAATAGATTTAAAAGAATATGAAACAAAAGAGTGTGAAGTAATGATGTATGGCATTTAAAAAAATGTATAGCTTTTGATTGAGAACTCTACAAATTTACATATTGATTTCTTGTTTGTCATTTTTTGACAATGTCCATGAAATTCACGATTATGAGAATGTTATGAGTTGATAGTAAAGGTAAATTTGTTCATTTTGCTCCAATACCGATCGAGGATAATAAAAGATGCATGTGACAAAAAACACAATAATTGCTGATCATGTCGTCATTGGTTAAGACATTAAAAAATATTTTTTTTTATTAAAATTTATGTATTAGAATTATGATGAGAGTGAACTATATGCATTTTTAATAAAAAAAAGTGTTAATTTTTAATTCCTCAACTAATGTCAGGTAGGTATTAATTAACATTTTTAATTAAAACTATACATTGGAAGAAAAAAAGAAGGTATATGAGTATATCCATTATTAATTGCAAGCCCACGAATATTAAGAAATTTATGTTATCTTATTGTTTATGCTTTTCCAGATATTTTAGCTGTAACATACAGTAAGGTGAAGACAACTCTCCCTCCCGTTGTTGTTTTGACATTTGAGCAGGTACATAGAAATTATTAAACTTGTGAAATTAACATCACACTCAAGTTAAAGATGAGTTACAAGCATGTTGGGCCTCCTTTTTCAATTTATTGCCAAAGCTGGTACAGCCATTAATTAAGATGGCAGAAAAAGGACCTGACAAAACCTGCAAACAAGTCCATAGTGAAGTACCAAACAGGTTTTGTTTTACGACCGTGTAAATGACAAATTAAGAGGAATATATTTGAGGCATCATTTGTGTTATTATCTTGCTTCCAGATCGAACCTGATCCTAAGAATTTATATTTCAGAGCCATTCATGTTTCTCCCATGACAAGTGAATCCAGCTTTACCATATTCTAGAAGGCCTCATAAATAACTCATGATCCACTCCTGTTTTTACCGTTTTCAGGTCAAATTCATGATCCACTCCACAGGACCACTTTTCCATCTTCTTCACAAGAGACCACAATCTGTTAAGAGGAGAAAATATAATTTAAGCATCTATCAAGAGGAGAAGAAGTAATTTGTTTAAATAAAACAATTTTTAATATGTATAACTTTATTAATAAAATGCAAGATTAGATAATTTTATATAAAAATATTAATTACATAGAATCACCCCAAGTATCCTCCCGAAAGATCAGCACAACTATTGTAAGTTGTAATGCAAAAGGTTGCATGAAAATAATAATATTTTCTTTCCGTAAAATAAACTAAATTGAAATCGCTGGGCCATTACTTTTTTCATCTATTCAAACTGGGCCAAGAAAATAGACTTAAACCATTGTAAAGTACCAACAGTGGTGTGGCAATGGTAAAGGAGGAATCTTTTGCTGACACAGAATGATAAGCCCCCGGTTTTATTCACGCTAAGGCTAAAATTTTATTGGTTTAAACATGTTTTTGATTCTTAAAAATGTGAAGATTTTTTTAATTTTATTAGCTTTTGATTCCCATCTCTTTCATTACATCACTCATGTAATTTTACACTTCTTTCTTTCCTCTTATTTTCTTTTTCTTTGTTATAGAAAGTGTTATAAAAATTTTAAATAAAATAGCAATACTGTGTTCCATTTTTTTTAGGGTGGGAGAGGGGAGGCGGAGGCGGCATCTATTTCATAATATAACAATTCCCAATTCCTTGTACTTCAAATTCAATAAGGTATTTTGACTTTCTAGAATTTAGAAATTTGTGAAATTCAAAAATGAACTAAGCCACAACATTAGAGGTTCTGTTATTGTCAATTATTCGAGAATAAACGAATAATACACAACAATCAAAGGTTCAGTTATCCAAATTATAATCATTTATGATGTCCATGTAGTGTCTAGTGGTCTACCAAAGAATGCATTGAGTTATGCAACCTCGTCCGTTGCAAGTTACAACCCTACAAGTATTATTTAAGTAATCTGTTTATTTGTCTGATATATAATAACACTGCAGAGTCGTCATAGTAAGGTGGAAGTTCAGGCTCTATTGCCGAATAATATAAAAATCAAACCAATTGGGCACTTTATCAAGCATAAGCCAACCAAGCATCATAAACAGAGGCAGCCTGGATTAACCCACAACACAAGCGAACATGTTCACTTTACTTAAGACAAAATTTTGTGCCAGCTTCTCTATTTTAGGCTCTATGATTCATGCTTGTTTCACTTTTACATTAACTTTCCCGCATTCTCTGATGTTGACAAAACCAAGCAGCCAAACCAGTAGTATAAGTATTCCTCTAATTGTTGAAGTGTTTTAAGTTGTGGCACAAGGAGATACAAGAGCCAATTGAATTCAGAGCTAAAAATGAGCGATACACGATTGCTAATAATATAATAATCTGACACTTAAAAATCAGCAAAACTTGATCATACTCTCCTGCCATCAAATAAAAAGAATCAAAATTTGTAATTTTGTACATCCGATTTGGCTTTGTAACAGAACATGCTTCAAGAAACATACAATATTCTATAATCTAAATGTACAATCAAATTATCCTGACATTAGCCAGTGATGGAAGACAATCCAAATCCTCAAGTCTCAATCTGTACTCAAAATCCTGGAGCCTGAGCTTCTTTCTTCCCTAGAATTAGAAGAATGTTGGTCACTTTCTAAAGTATATGATTGATACCCGGTTGGACTAGAGAGCTGACCTGAGCCACTACTGCTCACAGATCTCTCAATATCAAGCTTCCCAGCAACAAGAGGGATTGGCCGTTCGGGTATTGAGGGAACTGATTCATCAGTCTCCATCATTTTAACAACCTGATCCATTGTAGGCCTAGCATATAACTGTGGGTGAGAACAAAGTACAGCAATTAAAGCATACTTCTCAAGCACTTGTGGTGAACCTGGTTCTGGCATGCCATCTTCAATAAGATCCAAAGTTTTACCCGTTCTGACTAATGACCAAGCCCAGTCAGTGAGTGCAGAGGGTTGGCCATCATTGTTCATCTGAAGAGCCTTCCTCCCGCTCAACAGCTCAAGAAGCACAACTCCAAAACTGAACACATCACTTCTCTCTGTCAATTGCCCATACAAAGCATACTCAGGAGCAACATATCCCATGGTTCCAGCTACCCTAGTGCTCATATGAGTCATTCCCTCGGGGTTAAACTTTGCTAATCCAAAATCAGCTACCTTTGCTTCAAAACTTTCATCAAGAAGTATGTTACTTGCTTTAATATCCCTATGAATAATAGCAGGTTGAGCCCCATAATGCAAATAAGCCAACCCTCTAGCCGTGCCTAGTGCAATCTGCTGACGAATTGGCCAACCGAGTTTCACCCCATTTGAACCAAACAAATGGTCATGGAGGCTCCCATTTTTCATCAAATCACAAACAATAATCCTCTGGTAACCTTCCAAATGAGTAGTGGCACTACAATACCCTCTCAAAGCAACAAGGTTCACATGCCTAACGCTGGCAATAACCTCAACTTCATGAGTGAAGCTAGCATCACCAGCAGCCGAACAATTCTTGAACCTCTTCAACGCAACCTCACTCCCATCAGAGAGCAACCCTTTATACACATTCCCATAACCCCCTCTCCCAATTATGTTATCCCTGGAGAAGTTCTTGGTAGCCTTCTTAACATCATCAATCGAGAAGCGTATTAAAGTGGTGCTCTGATCCATCGAACCCAACCCAGAAACCAAACCCATCTCCGCAATATTAACATCCTTATCCCCACTCACCCTCTCATTCAACTTCCAATAAGCCCAAAACCCAATAATCAAAAGCAACAAAGCCAAGACACAAACAACACAAACAACCACAATGACAACCCTTTTTTTACCAGAATTGGAACCCCCAGAGGAAAAATCGAGGGCGAACAAGCACCTGGCAGTGCCAGGATCAGCTGGACCAAACAGGTTGGAAAAAGCAGCAGCATAAATAGAAGGGTAACCAGTGCAATCAGAGAGGTTCCCAATAGAGATTCCCAAAGATGGCAAAGCGGAGAAAGTAGTGGTGCAAAGTGCGCAAGGTGAGTTATTCTCAAGCGATTGGTTACACTTAGCCTGCATATTCTGAAGCGCTGATTGGGGAACCGAGGCTTCAAACTGTTGCCTGGTGGTGACGTTGGAGCAACCTTGGGAGATCCAATTTGTTTGAAAGCCACAAGAGGAGCGAATATCGAAGGTGGGGTCGAAGAGGTTAACGTAAGACTGAAAATCACGCCAGCATGAGTCGGAGGAGTTGAGAGGAGGGACGAAGAAATCACTGCGGCGAAGGTAATCTGACTGAACGAGACGAAGGGCCTGGCTTATGAACTGGCAGCGGGTGTTCCCGGAGGAGTCGTAGGAGGTGGGTTTTGCGCCGCCACTGAGGGCGGCGAGGAGGGTGAAGTTGAGGGGGCAAGAAGCGGAGAGGGAAGGGAAGGGAAGAGTCAAAAGAAGGAAATTGTAAAAGAAGAAGAAAAAAGGGTTAACTGGTGTCATGGGAATTGGTTGGTGAGTTTGTGATTGTGAGATTGAAGACGAAGAAGTGATGTTAGAAGAAATGGTATTTTGAGCATTGGTAGAGAGAGGTAGTTACTGGTGATGAGCCTGATTAGATTCGAATCTCCCTCAGCACTAAGCAGCAGCCAATCTAAACTGACATGTTACATTAACATGTATGTTAAGACCAACACTGTAGTACAAGGGTGTTTCCTCGAAGGAACGAACTCAACCTTGTCTAATGTGTTATTTTTCTGCTTTGACTAATCATCAGTGTGGTGTGGTATGGTATGGCATTGCCACAATAGCAGTTCATTAGCAATCCTATCCACTCCTCTCCTACCTCTATTTTCAATTCATCTAGAAGACACTTACAAAAATAATATTTTGCTACCTGCTCGTGCGTTTCGACAGACTTCAGAATTTGAGGATGCCGATTAGTAGTAATACACTACTTTCCAATATCATTATTTCATTTAACTTTTCTGACCTTGTTTATCATGGTTAATGATGGATAAATTTATATTAATTTTAACAGACGATGAGTTCAGCGGTTACAGGATAAGACATAATTTTTAATACACTGTTTCAGAGAAATGCACTGTTTCTGTTACTATCTCTGTGCAAAATTTTGATGGAGTATTATTTTTTTTGCTTTTGCTAATATAAGGGATATAGTTTTCTCATATGAATAATATGCTCACACATAGCACTAACAGTGATTAAAAAATATAATTAAACTAATGACTGGTAAATAACGAAGGCGGGGTAGTTGTTAAAAGAAAAGAAAAGCGAGCACTCGAATTGGTTTGTTTCAACCTACCTTGATTCGCTATCATCATGGCCCAGTTTAAGACAACTTGGTTTTATGGTGAGTGGACAGATTTGAAAAGAAAAATAAAAGGAAAAAAGGCGAAATTAATTATGTATTTTATATTTTAATTTGAACTATATAAAATTTTATGAATTAATTATTTTTTATTTTTAAAATTAGGCAAATTTTGACTACATTATATTTTTCTAATCTAAAATATTTAAATTTTAATAAATTAAATTAATTAAATTGTATTTTACTAAAAACTTACTAAAAAGTCAAATTTCTTTCAAAGTATAAATAAAATATCAAAATTTCTCTTATTCAAATCTTAATCTTACATTTTATGAAATCTTCTAAATCCAATTTTTATCAAAGTTTTGCTAAATGTTAACTCTAATTTTTAAAAAACTATTTTATTTCACAAATCCGTTTTGACCTCCCCCACTTCAAATAGATAAATAAATTTGAAAATCATAAATAGAACAAATTTGATGAGGAGATAAGTTTGCCTAATGTTAAAGAAAACGTAATTAACTAAAACTCATACTTAGTCTAAAAATACAATTAAGCTAAAAAGTTGGTGAGATGAGATGCAAGGGTGTGCATGAGTAAAGATTGAAAAGTGCAACATTTAAAAACACATAAACTCTTAGTGACTTGTGAACTTCGGTCAAGTGTAATTTAAAAATATATAATAATTGTTTTGAACCCTCACAATAAATATATTTGGCCAATTAGTATTTTGGAAAAATCATTTTGTATTTTTTACTGCTGAGGTGATTGTGATTAACGAAATTAAAATTTTAATAAATCTTGCCTATCATACATCCTCACACTATTTTATTCCATAGAGCTATATTTTATGTCATTTGAAAGGATGATGTAACTAAATAATAGCTACGTATTAGTTGAGGAGATTTTTGTTAATTAATCAGTGAACTAACGCTCTTAACACATCATTGACGTGTTTTTTTTTTTCTCTTAAAATTTTTAATTCCAATTTGGGCAAAATGTTAGTAGGAGATATGTTTTTATTTGCATTATGACTTTAAAAAAAATGCAAAGTAAATATAAAAAAAGTATATAAAATCGATATTTTAATACACTATAGTGTATTTATGATTATTATTTTCACCATATTCCCATAGTGGAACGGAAGTTTGTGTGGTGGTGATTGCGTATGCACATAATAACGCTGTTATCCCTCTTGTGCAGAGGACACGTGCAATTTTTGCTGCTTTGGAAGTCAACCACATGGAATTTGGAAACTATTTTATGTTTTAGACATTTTAAACATTGCTTTGAAAATCTTGAAAAATGTGAGAAGTTATAATAATGTAATAAATTATTTGGATTCAACTTAAAAAAATTTACTTAAATTAACCTCACGCACAATCCAAGACCCACCACAGGAAAAGATACTAGGAAAAACACACACTAAACTTTGATTGACATCAGAATGATTTCCAAGTTGCAGACTCACAGCTTTCATTTTAAAATTTATCAAATTTAACGTAATCTCATACACCTGTGGCTGCTCAATAGTCAAAAGGATTTATAAATTGTTATCCTAGCAGAAACCTCAAGTTTATATAATAAATAATTTTATTGATATAACAAATTGACACATATATCATGTTACTAATATAGATTTATAATACCCATTAAATAATTTTGTTTACTCGACAAAAACTATGTTAATAATGTACTTACTTGTGTTTTGCTTTAAATATATATTTGAGTGAACAGGAGGATCTCATCCAAAGGAACTTAAATCCATAATAAGGGTTTGAATGCCAAAGATATTCTAAGCTATTTTAAGTAATGGTTTAGAATAAGGACAATTCAAATACTTAATATATTTTTTGTCTATTAATAAATAATCATTTATAGTGATAACATCACCATATTTTCTTTTTATGGCTAGAGGGAACGAGGATGAGAGAGGAAGGGTAGGGATTTTTTAAGAAAGGCTTCACCAACCTTTCACCCCTCGCTTCATGAATCATGAGGTATTGTCCAATGAACCTTCACCACATATTGCCATATTGAAATATACTCATTTTTCTGCTGTCAGATCATCATGCTCATAGGCAATAGGCAAAAGTTGGGCCATCGATATACTCTATTAATAATTAATATTTTTAAATTTTTTAGAATAATAAATATTTTGTGACAATTGTTTATAATCAAATAAATATGTACCATTAACTGTTTCCATATAATATTTCGGGGGTAAAAGCATTAATTCAATCAGTTTCTTGGTCAAATAAATTATTTGCAATTAGTTCAATGCAGGTGTGCATCACCACTTTAAAACTAATTAATAATAATTTAATTGACAAAGTATATAATTGGTTGATAAACGAATAATAAGGTGTCAACTTATATTAAGAGGTTATCGATTTGTTAGTTAAAATGTTAATTGATCAGTTTCCTTAACAGTGGTTGATGATAGTAGAAATATGTTGCAACTCTCCATTAATATTAAATCGACAAAGTCATCATTCAAAGAAGCAATTTAGCTAAGTAACGTTGAACCTATAAAAACTCATATAGTATATCTTTATTGAAACTCGTTATATTTAAGTAGTTTTAATACATTACGTTAACATTAAACCTCTCTTGATGATTAAAATAATAAAATTAAAGTTATGAATAGAAGAAGAGTTAACAAAACAATAATGCTAGCTCAGCCTTTGCCTAAGCCTTGCTGAAATATTTCACACTGAAGTGAGTAAAGTGCAAAATCCTCCATACTAATGCCATTTCTCTTTTGTGGTGAAAAAAGGGTAAGAGTCACCAACCAGAACCAAATCAATGTTGACACTGCTTAAACCTAAATCAATCGCTAACTATCTTATGCGTAAGAAATAGATTCACTCATCCACTAAAGATAAACGGAAAAAATAGGGAAAATAAAATTATAGATTCATTCTTCAAAAGTTTTAAAAAAAACGAAAGCAACTGATACTTAATGCATAGAAATGATTTAACATGGAAGAATGATTGACTGTGGACGCTCACACAGATGATTTGCCGGTGAAGAATGTTGAGTAATAATAACAAGCTATTGAGTGCTGTAGTTCAGTTTCTTGGCTGAGGGGTTTGGTTTGTGCGTAGTGATTGTGTCAATTACGCTGACATGATAGCGAATTAAGTATATATTATTTGTACTCTCGCCCAATTGGTAGAACGTTACGTAGTTTCTAGAGAAGATTTTCATGAGCCACTCATAATTCATACAGAGATCCATTTAATTAATTAATTAATTAGCATCTTAGTTAGTGGAGCTTATATTATATTATTTGGCTGTATATCTGTAAGTATCTTATGTGGAAAAAACAAGAAAAGGGCCAACCTCTGTCTTGGCCTCTAAAATAAATGAGAAGCATAAAAGTAGCAGTAGAAGATAATGACAATAATAATTAAGACAATTATGTTGTGGGCACACATATAACTAACATTTTTTTTTCCTTTTAAAATCTTGCTAAGGCAGTTTTTATAATTTTTTATTAAAAATTATGATAAAATGTGTCGGTAATTTTTTTTATTTTATAATCAATATTAAAGACAATTGATAGAACATAAATCTCAGTTCTAGAAAAGTTCCGAGAAAAACAATGTTTATTTGAGAGAGAGAGAGAGAATCTTAGAGAATATATATTCTACATCTCATCTGAATCCAGCTTAGTGTGTTTCCTTGATGGGGTTTTCTTCTTTTTGCTAAAACAGCAAGTTTGGCTATGTACATAGTTACTGAATAAGAATAGCCGACAAAATTAGAATCCTCCATTTTTATAGCATATTTAACAAAAATTTCTTTTCATTTCTCGAACATTTCTCTTGCTGTATTGCATTTACTCCCCAACATGTGGAAGGAAAGTAGATGACTTCGGTGTTATGGTCTGCAGTTTCATATTTTTGTACGAACTTTATATTACTATATTATTATAAAGTATTGTAATAATATTTATTTAAGAACTTAAATTGTTTGTAATGATATGAACAAAAATTAGATCGCGGATGAAAGAAAATTAACACCGATAATTTCACTTTAAATCTCATTATATTTTCCTCAATAGTCCCTTACATATTACACGGTTTTTTAATTAAAACAAATGTTTACTCAACATTTATTTCACCCCATGAGAATATAAGTTGTTGTATAATCTACTATATCGGGAACCTCTTTCACATCATTAATTTTTTAATTTTTTACGTTTAGATTAATATTAATGCACGTATCTGATTGGATGAGCTTATAATAAAGTTTCTTTCATATTTATATGACAACTTGACCAATGAAGCCAACTTTGAGGTTGGTTTGCTAAGGAATAAACACCATTTCCCACGTGCCGTATCCTAGAAGAGACCATGGAGTACTGACACAACAGAGGCGTCTCTGACTCTGACCAACCAAGCTGCCGTGACAAGGATAAGGACCATGTTTTTTGTTTTCTTATCATCACTTTTTTATATTATCATTTAATATAACTTTTAAGATAATAAAATAAGAGTTCATAAATAAAAAGTGCGAAAAAAATTATATAGAAAAATCATTTTGGCATGGGTAAAGCAACCTTTTCTTTACCACCTCCTCTTCTGTCTTCCTCAACAATCCAAACCCCAAATTGCATAATCATAATCCTCGTTTCTTATTTTACACGGTGCCCATTGATAAAAAATATTATATTATTTATACAACCAAAAAAATCTACATAACGAAGATGGCACTCCAAAGTATTATTTAATTAGCATGTATTCATTTTCAGTCCTAAAAATGTTTACTTTTTTTTTTTATGTGTTGGAGAAAAAGCAAAATTGAAAAGAAACGTCGTGACTAGTACCGGGCAAAATTGAAAAGGGCAATGATAGTTGTTTGTTGAAGCGGGGATGCCAAGTAAAACCACCTCTGATGTTTGCGTCTCTATTCTCTCCACTGTCTCTGCCCTGCTTTCCTCTGTTTCTCTGTTCCATCTTTGAATTGAAAACAACATCAGATATTTCTCTTCGTGGCATTCGGCAGCCCAACTTGTCTTTCACTCATCTCGTTTGATTGGATTTATATCATCTTTCAAAGTTTTTGTGGTATTCACTTTGCGAGTTTCAGAGATGCTGTGTTGTTACGTGGTTGCACAACACCCTTTCTGTTCCTGATACGTAATTTTTTGCTGTCTTCTGTTTTGGGTCTCTTCAAAATATGGTTTTCTCTGTTGCTTTGTCTTATCCCTTAGGCTTCTTTGATTCCTACACTTCAGGAAGCTTTCCTTCTCTTCTCCTTTCTTTTCCTAATTGATTTTCTAGGAAAAAACAATTCAAGGTGGATATTCCTATCTTAATATACAACAGTTCCTGGCAATGTCCTTCAATTTATTATTTTTGCATCCATTCCTATTCTCGCTGCTTTGGTTACCTGGGTATTCCTAATTAGCCTAGTTTTTTGTTTTATGGGTCGCTCTTAATTTATCGTCTTGTTAACTGTGTGGCTTTTAATTTATATTCACTTTGTAGGAAGAAAAAAACAAACATTTTGTTACCAGAGAAAAATCCATTGTGTCTTCCTTAAGTTATCCTTTGTCATGAAATTTCTCACTTTTCTGGTGGGTTTGTAATATATTTTCTTTTACTAGAGGGTTTCTGCGTTTGTGGGTGTAAAAAAATGAAGGAAAAGGTGGATTACCCTGTTACCGTCCTAGAGGACTATTTCAAAATGAAGGAAAAGGTGGATTCGCCTGTTACAGTTCTTGAGGACTATTTCAGGAGCTCAGATTCAGAATCAAGTTCTTCCAAAGAGCCCTCAGCTGATTCTGAGTCTCAAGACATTTCAAAACCTGCTTCTAGGTGGCATTCATTTCTTCAATTGTTGAGGAGCAGATCAAAGAAACAGATGGCCACATTGCACCCTCTCAAGCTCTCCAAAAGAATGAGCAGTAGCATGAGGGAAACCATTCTCCCAAGTTGTCTCCTAGAGGTAGCTGCTTCCCCTTGCAGGTCACCGTGGAAGATATTCACTCATCATGAGATACAAGTTGCAACCAATTATTTCAGCCAAGGTATGCCGCAAGACAAGATGCAACAGAAATAGATTTCTGCTTAGGGAACATAATTTCTCTAAATAAATAACTTTATCTTATATAGACTAATGAAGTTAACATATTGTATTAATTTTTTATAAATAAAATCTCGTTTGTCTATCTAAGATGATGTTATTTAACACAGAGTAATTTAGACAAACCCGAAATTAAATTGAGTTAGTTTAAATTATGTTGGTTGGTGCAGAAAATTTAATTGGGAAGGGTGGTTATGCTGAAGTTTACAAAGGGTGTTTGCCAAATCGCCAGCTAGTGGCAATTAAACGGCTAACAAGAGGAACAGCTGATGAAATCATCGGGGACTTCTTATCAGAACTTGGTGTAATGGCGCATGTGAACCATCCCAATACTGCTAAGCTTGTTGGTTATGGGGTGGATGGTGGAATGTTTCTAGTTCTTGAATTGTCTGAAAAAGGGAGCCTAGCTTCAGTGCTTTATGGTAATGAATAATGCCTTGAATGAATAATTTTAGCCTTTTTGCCATGTATTGAACCAATTGTTATTTGTTACCATTTTTATTAAATTTGCATATCCTTCTTCCCGGATCAGGTTCCAAGGAGAAACTACCTTGGTGTATTAGGCACAAAATCGCATTAGGAACAGCAAATGGTATATTATATCTTCATGAGGGTTGTCAAAGAAGAATTATCCATAGGGATATAAAAGCTGCTAATATCTTGCTCACGGAGGACTTTGAGCCTCAGGTATGCTTTGGATTCTCTTGTTTAAGTTTGATTCTGCAATTGATCACCACAAATTCATTCATGTTTTAAGATTTTGTATTTACCCCTTAGACAAACAAATTTTTGGAAGATTCTTCACTACATGTGATGGACGAAACTTCTTTCATTTCAGTCACATTGTTTCCAAGTTTTGTACATTAGTGGACCATGATATTTTAAGAATATACTAAACGTGACGAATTTTATGAGCAGATTTGTGATTTCGGGCTAGCAAAATGGCTGCCAGAAAATTGGACTCACCATACCGTTTCAAAATTTGAAGGAACTTTCGGGTGAGAATATACCACATTGTGTTATAAATTTTTTGTGGGTTGGTATAGTATTAACTCATTATGATTGCCACAGCTACCTTGCTCCTGAATACTTGCTGCATGGCATAGTAGATGAGAAAACGGACGTATTTGCCTTTGGGGTGCTACTATTAGAATTAGTGAGTGGGAGGCGAGCACTTGATTATTCACAGCAAAGCCTTGTTTTATGGGTATAGTATCTTATTTACGTACAAATTTAATGCTCATGAAACATTCACAGTCTAGGCATTTGATTTTTCCTCTTAATAATTTTTCAGGCAAAACCATTGCTGAAAAAGAATGATATTATGGAGCTGATTGATCCTTCACTAGCAGGTGAATTCGAGCCTAGGCAGGTGAATCTAATGCTTTTGGCAGCTTCTTTATGCATTCAGCAGTCCTCAATTCGTCGACCCTCTATCAAACAGGCACGTTCTCTCTCTCTCTCTCTCTCTCTCTCTCTAGATTTCAACTTGTAATTTTATTGCCTAAGCTCTCAATTTAGTTCTGATAATTTTTTCTCATACAGTATTTATTCTTGTTTGATAACTTTTTTATTTTATTTTCATCTATCTGAACATAATCTATTTGTTTATAACTAATCTAATATAAGAATAAATAAATTTTATTTAACTTATTTTACATAGTAAAAAAATGTAATCCAATCCACAGGATGTTTTATATAGTCTTGGTAATTCTAAGCCCATGGCAAAGTCCATTACTAAGTAAGTGACATTTTGGTGCAGGTTCTACAGCTTCTGAATGGCAACCTTAGCTGTTTCAAGGGCATCAAGAAAACTCGATTCCCATTCTTCCGAAAAGTCTTCCGCGAAGAACTTCATGATTCTGAATAGTCGAAAGAAACAACAGTCACATAGAAATTGCCTCATCAAACCCAAAATTTTGCATTTTGTACGGAAAAAAAGCCATTGCCCTTCAACCTGTGTACATAGTAGATTCTCTTCTTTTTTAAGAATTGGTAATAGATAGTCAAATACTTAGTTACTTGCAAGAGAAATATTCTAGTACATCACTTCTATTCTTGTTTAAAATTAGCTGTTGTAGCGTGAGGAATAGTTTATTAATTATTTCCCCTCCTTTTATATTATACATACACTTAAATTTATATGAAAAAAGATCCTCGGTGGAAAGCACAAAAATGAAAGCCACTAGAGACTTTGTGTTGTAGACAATTTGCAAGTGCCTAATCTTCCATAATACGTTTGGCAGCTCTTTAGAATGTGACAATGCGATATATGCTAATGAATTCAGGCCACACATTTTTAATTAAGTGGTCATCACTCATCACATATATACTTATGTTTTTAATATTATCTTTCATTTTTCATAAAAATACACAATGATCGCTAATTGACTAATAAAAAACAAACTGAATACACAATATTCAACAATCTTATCCGTACATATACACCTATTTACGTCATAATTTTATATTCGGTTTCACTTCACTTTTTATGTGTAGTTTCACTTTGTTGTATCCATTCACATTAATATTAAACGCTGTTTAAAAATTATTTCTAAAAAATAAAATAATAAAGAATTATTAAAAGACTTGAAATTTTTCAATCTTAACACCTGATCCAGAGCCCAATCTTTTCAATATGTTTAAGTTGAAGATTCCCCTTCATAAATTAGATTCTATCAATCTTTACCCATAATAAAAATAAAAATAAAAATAAAAATCTATCAATAAATTTCATAAATTGTCAATGATATCCTTCTTAATGATAACTTGTTTGAAATAGTAAAATATTCATCATTAGTTATAAAAATATATATATTACTTATTCAAAACTATTTTTATTTGAATTTAAAAATATTTGTATAATGTGGAAAAAGATTGTTAGTTGACATATAAGTTTATAAATGATAAAAATGAAGCTGATGTAATCATTAGTTACAGTTAAGTTACCCATCTTTTTTTTATGTAGCTACCCCATTGACGTGCCGTATACTTATGTCTGGGCAGAAAAATAATAGCATAATTGTTTTTTTTTTAACACTGTTGAGCGATTTTCTTAAATGGATGCGTGAAAAATTTTAAGATTAATTATAAATTTTGTCTTTATATTTGATACTTTTTTATTTCTTACGTACAAAAATTACACATTTTAATTCTGTAATGAAAAATTGTTTACTTGTCACTCTTGGTCATTTATTAAAGTTAGAATGTTAAATTTGGTGTTTATACTTTATATTATTTATAATCCATGTACTAGAAACACAGCAATGCCATTATAATTTTAATAAATAGTAAGACCAATATGTAAAAAAACTAAAACAATATGTAAGAAGTAAATTAAAAAAATGAATTAGGTATAGGATTAAAAAATTTACCTATTTAAATTAAATACAAAGTGTTCTTTTATTATATTATTATTGAGTATTTTTTTTTAATTCCCTTCAAGTTGTCTTGTGGAATGTTTGATTTAAAGGATGGAAAGATAGAGAAAATAATTTATCTTTTTCTTATTTGATTATAATACAATTTATAAATAAAATTATTTATAAAATCTTTGTAATTTTTTTAGCATACCACTTGAATAAACTATAATACAAATATTCTCTCGCAGATTATCTGATTTATAGAACTTAAACGGCTATAAACTGTAAATCACAGTCTCTATCTCTCTTTTTATAGCTTTTTTATTTTAATTTTGTTTTTCACGAAGGATTATCCTGATTTTCTATGATTTTATTGATTTTATTTCAATGAAACATGTTATTAGTTTGTTTAACTCACCCAAAAAAAATATTTCCACACTGATTTTTTAATGTAATTATTCAAAACTAAATAACAGTATTATTTTAGACTATCAATATATTTCAATCAACTTTATATTTTTTTTATTTTATGTGACTCATATTTTATTGGCGATGGCATTTTGGATAAGAAATTTTAATAGATAAAACCTGTTATTTCAAAGGTTAACCGTTCGTAGCTTTTATAACATAAATATATAAGTTTAGTTGAATCCCTTTTCAAATTTTTAGGCATTAATTAAAAATCAAATTGTAACAAAATTATAAATACAAAGTTTTTTTTTTAATTTTAGCCTTTAAATTAAATTTAAGCATTAAAAAATAATGTATTTTTATTAAAAAAATTATTACACTTTTATATCTCTAATATAATAAATATTTTAACAAAAATATTCAGATGCTTAATCTTAATCATAAAAATCGAACTTACTAAAATTTATATTAATTTAATCATTATATTTTACATAATGTATAATATTTTTTATTCTCAGTGTATATTTTGTTTGTTAACTATACCAAATTCGTGTATACAGATTTTGGGACATTTTCTTTTTCGAAATTGATTCTTTTAGAGTTCTTTAACTTTCAAAAGAAACTAATATTGCAAAATATGAATCCTTTACAAAAAAATATGCAAATCATTTGACGTCTTAAAATAATTATTGATACGTTATCTTATAAATAAAAAATTAAGGAATACCGAGCTTGTTATTAGCTAGGATAAACTAATTTTAACTTGAATTTTTTAAATTAGAGTTTTACTATACTTGAATTAATAAAAATTAAATATGCAGTTAAAAAGCTACAGTACTATTTGAAAAAAATATAACTTCAATTGTTTTATTTACTTGAAAATAAGATTCAATAAAAAATACTCAAAATGTTTTATGACAATAAAAAAAGAATAAACTTTATTTTCTTCTTTTAAAAGATGTTTATATTCTTTCATTTTATTTTAAAAATATAAACTTTTCTATTTTAAAAATAAAGCTTAAATATGTTATTGGTTCTTATAAATGTAAGTCATTATATGATAAGTCTTTATAAAATTTTTTGTTAGCATGTACTTCCTTAAAAGTTAGAATTTTTGTTAACATGTAATTCTTGAAAAGTTAAAAATTTAAAATATAATCTCTGTCGTTAACTTCTTTCTGTTAAGTGTTAAATTAGCTAATAGAGAATCAGCTCAACATTTCACGTAGTGTCACGTGCCAATTACAGTCTATGTGGCATATTATATCATTTATTATTTTTTATTATTTAAAATTAAAATTTATAAATAAAATCTTAAATATATTTTATATAATTGCATAAAAATTTATTTCCTTTTCCCTTTCTATTCTCCAATTCCACATCAAACACTTCTCCTCTATCCCTGTCCCTTCCCTTTTCCCCACCTCCACTCTCTCCTTTTTTCCCTCCTCACACCACTGTACATTTCCTTCATTCCTTTTTTCCCACTTCACACCACTGTACATTTCTTTCCTTCCTTTTTTTCCACCCTTCTTCTTCTCCACACTTTCTTTCATCTGCACCACCCCTCTCCCCTACCCAATTTTGTTCCCTCTCACCCCTTCTCATTCCCTTATTTGCACCACCTTCCCTTTCCATTCCTTTCCCATACCTCTTTTCCTCCAATAATCACATTCTCATCCTAATTCGCACACATTCCTTTTCCATCCCTTTTTATTCTCCTATCCGCACTATGAAGCAATAAAACCAAATAATAATAATAATAAATAATGTGACATGCTACATAAACTGTGACTGGAACACATGACTCTACGTGAAATGCTAAGCTAATTAAGTCAACTCAACATTTAACAGAGAAAGAATTAACGACAAAGATTAAATCTTAAATTTTTAACTTTTCAGGAATTACATCCTAACAAATATTTTTATAAGAATTTATTACAAAATGACTTACATTTATAAATACCAATAAAATATTTAAAATTAAAAATAAATATGACTTATATTTAAATTTATTTTAATAACAAATAATTTTTTAGAGAGATATTTTTTTATGATTCTCGACATAATTAATAATTAATTTTAAATATCTGTTATCAATTTTTATGACTTATAAGATAAAATAATAAAATTAATAATAATATGTTTAAAATTAAATATTAATAATATCAATAGTGGCTTGAAAATGAAATATCATGAAAATACATATCTATATTAAAAACATACTAAATTAGTGTTTTTATTTTTTAAATTTAAGATAAATTTTAATTTTTGTATTTAAATTTTACTAATTTATTTTAATATTTTAATTTATAAATATATTTTAAATAAATTATTTTCTGTTAAAAACATTAATTTTTTTAAAAAAAAATTATTTTTCCTACTACACGTACTATATGAGTATTATTTATTAATTTATTCACATGTACGATTTACATCTCTTCATTTTTCTCCTTTATTTCATTTTTTATCTTTTTCTTTTCTTTTTGTCTTTAAATCTCACACGCAGTATATTGAGCAAAACAATGTGTATGATTCAACACTTTTAAGTTCTCTGCTTATAACTATACTTTCAACAGAATCAAGCAGCATATGATTATCGTAATGCATTACAAGAAACTTTAGTTAAATTTATAAATCCAATATATAATGAAATGTAAATTAAAGATAATAAAAGACAATAAATAAAACTTACACTATACCTTAGTAAAAAGCAACAATTTTTTTTTAACAAAGTTAATATTTTTACAAGTTAAAAAATCATGATAGACAAAAAATAAAATAAAATAGAATGACAAAATTAAACTTACCTTAGAGTAATTTCACCTTAAAAATAACTAAAGCATATTCTATATTAATCTCTTAGGAAGAAAAATCAATAATTTAAAATAAAATAATATAAAAGTACTCTTTGAACATGTCAAGGAAGAAAGGGATAATTTAATCTGACCAAAAGAAAGAAAGAAACCCAAATAAAGAAAGAAAGAGAGAAAGATTTTTTAAACTTGCCTTAAATACGTAATACATTCTCATTCCTGAAAAAAAAAAGCTATAAGAATCATGCCATTATCCTAAGTAAGCGAAATTTATCAGGGAGAAAATAGTCATTTACAATTTTAATTTATTAATGTAACTTTTGGTTTGTGGAACTTACGTTGCGTGTTACTTGCATCGCAAGTCCAACGATCCACATTTTTTCTATTTTGAGAAGCATAGGCAGGAATTTGTTTAAGTCCTCGTATATTTATTAAATTTAATTATTTAAAAACAATAATTTTCTATTAAAAATAAAATATTTATTACACTTTTGTATTTTAATAAAATCATATATTTACAACTTTTAATATCAATATTCAACGTTTCAGCGTTCTTATAATGTGGAAAAATTTCAGTGTTAATTCAAAATTTAAAAATTCATATCAAAATGGTTAGGCCAAAGTGATTATAAAAGGATTTCAGGAATCTAATATAAGAAGCAAAAAGTAATTAATTATCCCTCGAACTAATAAATAGTGCTATTTAAAAATGAGTGAGATAACACTACCACATTTCATTATAGTAGGAAAAAAAATAAAAATAAAAATAAAAATAGAAGAGAAGAGAAAAGAAAAGAAAAAATTAGAGGTGGAGGCAGAAGGGTGTAACAGAGACAGGGAACGATGGACGAGAGAGAAAGCGAAGTCTATTTGAGTGTGAGAGTGTTTAGGTGTTGGAAACTCTAATAACTCTTATCTCCGTAAAACACACTCACTCGAAGCGTTACAATCGGAAACGTTTATTTATTTTATTATTTTATATTTTGATTTATCTCTTCTAATTTAGTGTTGTGTCGGCTAAGAAAGATAATCAACGATGAAGAAAGGGAAGGGGAAGAACAACGGTTTGTTACCGAGTTCGTTGAGGATCATCTCTTCCTGCCTCAAGACTGTTTCCACCAATGCCAGCACCGTCGCTTCCACCGTCCGCTCCGCCGGCGCCTCCGTTGCCGCTTCCATTTCCTCTGCTTCCGAAGATCGCAAAGATCAGGTCACACTTCAATCCATTGCTCTCTTTATATTTATAATATCCCCAACAATTGTCAACCGCTATCAATTCGGTTCCTAGTGTGAATAGCCTTGATTCTTATCAATTTCATTTTTACTAGGTGGAGCGTGTATTTTCTATGCGTAGGTTACTTTTTGTATTATTGTCACTTGCGCGGTAGTAGCGTTTTGAACTACTCATTCTAGCTTCGCAGCTAGCTTTATTTGTTTTTAGTTGGTGTGTATATAGAGTTCCTAATGTTACTGGTATTGTGTTGTCGAATTAAGTTGTTGTGTTTAGGTTTTCTTGTTGAAAGTTCTGTGTGTTTGCTTCAAGTGCTTCTGTGTTCATTATTCAAGCTCTTTCTTAGGAATTATTATAGCTCTAACGGTTGTTACCTTTTAATTATTGGTGGGCAGGTTACTTGGGCTGGTTTTGATGTACTAGAGCTTGATCAGTCTATATTTAAACGTGTTCTTTTACTTGGATATCTGAATGGATTTCAAGTTCTTGACGTGGAGGATGCCACTAGCTTTAGTGAACTGGTCTCCAAGCGCGATGGGCCGGTTTCTTTCTTGCAGATGCAGCCTTTTCCTGTTGGCTCTGATGGCCAGGAGGGATTCAGAAAATCACATCCTTTGCTGCTGGTTGTTGCTGGGGATGGCACTAGCAGTAATAGCCAAAATTGTAGCCATTTGAGTGGTTTAGGAAATGATGGTAAGGTAGAGACTCAATCTGGGAATGGTGTCAGCTCTGCAACAGCTGTTCAGTTTTACTCCTTGAAATCTCATTGTTATGTTCATGTTCTGAGATTTCGATCTGCAGTTTGTATGATCAGATGCAGTTCGCAGATAGTAGCTGTTGGTCTTGCCACACAAGTATGCAATGGTTCTTCTGGTGTCTTCTAGAATTTTGAATACTTAAAGTAGAGCATTATTGTATTGTGAGATAAAACTTAAGAGGACCTATTTTCTTAGTTCATTTTTTACATGTATACCTTTATTAATTTTGCTTTCTTGTTAATTTTTTTGGGCAGATATACTGCTTTGATGCGTCAACTCTTGAGAATAAATTCAGTGTTCTCACCTATCCTGTTCCTCAGTTAGCGGGACAAGGAACAGCAGGTGTTAATGTTGGTTATGGTCCAATGGCTGTGGGTTCAAGGTGGCTAGCTTATCCATCCAACAACCCACTGCCCTCAAATGTAGGATGCTTAAGCCCACAGAACCTGAGTCCTTCTCCTGGAGTTAGTCCATCAACATCTCCAGGCAGTGGTAGTTTAGTGGCTCGTTACGCAATGGAGTCCAGTAAACATTTGGCTGCTGGAATAATCAAATACTGTCAAGAGCTGCTTCCTGATGGCTCTAATTCTCCAGTACCATCAAATTCAGGCTGGAAAATTGGTAGGGTTACAGGAAGTGATATGGATAATGCAGGAATGGTGGGTATTGTTTCACCATGCTTAGCTAATTGATAAGTTAGAATTTAGGATGCTTTAGAAGAGAATATCAATATCTCACTTATTCTTGGTTTGTATGATTGCATTTGCAGGTAGTTGTTAGGGACTTTGTTTCAAGAGCAATCATCTCACAATTTAAAGCTCACTCTAGTCCAATATCTGCACTCTGTTTTGACCCTAGTGGGACCCTTCTGGTCACTGCATCAATCTATGGAAATAATATTAATATCTTCCGAATAATGCCATCAAGCGCACACCAAGGTTCAGGGGTTCCAAGCTATGACTGGAGCTCTTCTCATGTGCATCTTTACAGACTACATCGTGGAATAACACCAGCTGTTAGTATATCTTAGTTGTAATATATGCTCTTTTATTTGTTTTGAAGTTTGGAATTTTTATGGCCAGCATTTGTGCCCATTTCATCTTCTTTTCTTATTTGACAGATGATCCAGGACATTTGTTTTAGTCGATTTAGTCAATGGATTGCAATTGTCTCATCCAAAGGGACTTGCCATCTTTTTGTTATGTCACCTTTTGGAGGTGACACTGGTTTCCAAATTATAAGTTCTCAGGGTGAAGAACCATCCTTACTTCCAGTTTTGTCTCTACCTTGGTGGTCTACTTCATCTTCCATTTCTTATCAGAAATCCTTGCCTCCTCCAGCACCTGTTGTGCTTTCTGTGGTTAGCCGGATAAAGTATAGCAGTTTTGGATGGCTTAATACTGTTAATAATTCTACTGCAAACGTGACAGGCAAAGTTTTTGTGCCATCTGGTGCTATTGCTGCCATTTTTCATAATTCCTTATCTCAATCACAGCAGCTTGTTAACTCTAAAGCAAAATCCTTAGAGCATCTCTTGGTATATACACCGTCTGGTCATGTAGTTCAGCATGAACTTCTGCCATTTGTTGGTCCAGAACCAAATGAAAGTGGTTCTGGAACCCAGTCAGCTTCAATCCTGCATATGCAGGAGGATGAATTCAGAGTGAAGGTTGAGCCTATTCAATGGTGGGATGTATGTAGAAGGTCAGAATGGCCAGAACGAGCAGATCCTTGCTGCAATTCCTTTGATAGACAAGATGGTATTGAAAAAGTTCAAGATAAAGTATGTTCTGGTGATGACCATGGATTGAATTATGTCGATGAGGGTGTTGGTGTTGGGGAAAAGACAGTAAAACCTACTACAGGAAAGCCCAAAGAGATATTTCACTGGTATCTATCTAATGCAGAGGTGCTAGTGAATTTTGGAAGGACACCAATATGGCAAAAGTCTAAGGTATTTATTGTGCAAACTTTTAATTTTCTCTTACAGTGCTTAGCATTGCTTGTTAATTATCTTCCTTGTTTCTTCAGATTTGCTTCTATGCGTTGAATTCTGTGAGAACTAGTTTTAGTGCTGGTGGAGAGTCTGAGATCGAAAGGATCTCTGCTAATGAAATTGAAATCAGGCAGAAGGAGTTGTTGCCTGTTTTTGACCATTTCCATAGCATCAGACCAAGCTGGAATGAAAGGTGTTGACTGTTTTTATTTTTTATTCCTGGCAAATTGGGTATCTGTGACTGTGGCATGTCATGACTTTATCAAATCATATTGTTCTATCTGATCAAGACTATTAGATTAATGAAATTGAGAAATAATATAATGATTATTTAGAAGCTTTGGAGTTTACATATTTTTTTTCTTACAAGGGAGAATTCCTAATTTCCTACAGGATAGTGTCCATCTTTTGATATTGATTTCAATTAGATTATTGGTTTTGTACTGCAACCTTGGTATTGGGCATCCACCCAACTGACTTTGTGTATGATGTTATAGATGAACTGTTTATCCTGTGTGACCTTAAATCATACTTGCTGGTTTTGCCTTTGAAGGAGAGAAACCATCTATTATTTTTATTTTATTATATGCCTTGAACATTGATTTCAAATCTTGAACAAAGTTTGACATGCACCCCTTGGAAAAAAAAAGAAACACTTCAGTATCATCAATGTTGCAATTATTTTCATTAGGTCTAGATTACTTTTGTTCATCCAAGCATCTGATGCTTGCATTCAGTTTATGAATTGAAGGCATTTATAGGGAAATAATACCTCAAAAAGTTAGGTACTATTTCTAGTAAAATGCATGCTTTATAATTAATTAACTAGTGACATCCCTTGTGTTTTTGGTTTATCTGTGATTATCAGTAGTCTTTTGTTTCATCATATGCTTACTTGGCTATTTGACTCAGAGGCCTTCCTGGGGAAAAATACCTGGGCCATGCATCTGCAGTTCCCCATCCGGCTGAAGACAAGCAAACTGCTGACATGACTGTTATTTGTCATTCAAAGCCAGCATCACTGAGCTCTACTGAAAGCTCTGATGGAGGTAAGAAACTATATTTGTAACTTCTGAGGAGCAAATAAGAATGCAATTTTTGAAGATCAATTGGAGTTTGTACAGGAATATGCATGTATATTTCTTTTTCTTTTTTTTTGTTTTCCTTTAAAGCTTTGTTTGGGAGTTTAGAGGGAGAGGAAAGAGAAGAGTTTGAAGAGTAAGGGAGGAGAGGAGGGAGGAGGGAGAAGGAGAGTTAACAAAAAAAAAATTATCTAATTTTAGGGAAGTTAAAAACATGAGTTTATGGGAGTTTTGGAGGTTTATCAAAACACACTCTTTCTTCCCCTCCTAAAATCAATTCTCAAACAATGCCTAAAAGAATGCTTTACATATAAACAAGTTTCTGTATCAGTTTATGCAATTTCTTGTTTTACCATCAGCATCCACATACACACACATATATATATATAATTTGAATATCCTGTAATGACCTACCCATCAATTATGTTTGTGATTTACTTTAGGTTCATCAAGAAGGATTGAAAATTTGCTTGACCTGGATCAAGTTTCTTCTACTTATCAAATGCATGGTGAAATTTACCTGGAAAAAATGGGGGTAATCAATGTTGAGCCTTCCCTGCGAAGCAAGATTGTGCTGGAAAATCCATCTCTATCTGGAGATTTGAAGCGTGCGGATTCTCTATATGACCAGTGTCTCGATGGCAGTCCATTATTGCAAGGTAGAAAAATAACTTATGAAGGAAGAGATCCGGTTGAAGGTGTCAGGATCAGTGCGGAGTCAGCATTGGTCCTGAAACATGATTTAGATAAGAGCAATCTTGTGGAAGTGGCCTCGGTTATGCAAAATGCATGTATCAGGCAATCTTTCGAGGATAGTCACTGCATGTCACCTGGGCACGATGGAAGTAATGTGTTAACTGAAGTTGTAACTGATGATGTTGACAGCAACGGTAGCCACCACAAAACAGAGCAGCCAGAGGATGAGAATGATGAAATACTTGGTGGCTTGTTTGCCTTTTCTGAGTAAGTGTAACACACATGCCTATTGATGCAGCTGCATTTTTTTCACATGCATCATCAAATTATAAACTTTTATCAATGAATTTATGATTTTTTTAGGTAGATTACTCCATTGAAGTGTTAATTGCAGCATCAATAAGTCATCTCACCATCAATTCTCGCTGGAATCTTTAGTTAGGAAAATGTAAAAAGCAATGTGCATGTTGTGAGTAAGAAATGACACGTGAGCAACAAGAAGTAAGGCTGATTTGTTGCTCAATTGTGTTGACCTCCCTCCCTGTCTCTCACCCTTGTAAATTTTGTAGATGGGAATTCATATACTCGTTCTTATCAGGTATATGTGGAGTTTGCAGTCAGAGTCATAAGCTGAATTTTTATCGAGCTTGCATGTAAATATGAATCGGGTATGGAATTTGTACAATAATATATTTCTTAATTCTTGAAGTTGGGAAGAAGACATGAAAAATTTGAAAGGTCAGTTAATAGTGCCTGACTGCTTTATTTCTATTCAGCTTGGCTTCAGTTTTTATTTTATTTATAATTTTGCTTCTTTTTAATTAGAGTTTTGTCAACTTTAGCCGCATTTTCCATTTCCAGGAAGAAATAACGGAAAGTAGAGTAGTTATTATTCTCAGAGAGCAAAAAGAAATATACACAACTAAGAATGGAGGAAAAGAGAATGGTCTATTCATAGAAGTGTTCCACGTTCTTTGATTTGTAAGGGAAGAGGAAGGAAAATAAAATAATATATTACTATACTGTTTCAATGGAGAAATTTACTAAATTTTTTAATTTAATATAATTTAATCAATGCAATTTAGAGACGTTAAATAACTTTTCTTTAGAGACCAAATTGAAAGAATCTGATTTTGGTTGTATTCCCTTTCGTTTTAAATATTTAAACCAATTTTCTTCCATTCCCCACCGAAATCAAACACCATGTGCAGGTCTAGGATGACAAAATAAACCAATAGATCAATCTATTCCAAATGTTTAGGGTTCATAATCAGAACGAAGTTTTTTAAGGAATTACGATATTCATTGATTGTTCTTAACTCACTTTTTAAATTTCTGATTCAAGTTCATGTACAGTACGTAGCTGGGTATTTTTTTTTTGAGACATTGAAACAAATATATAATTCCTTTCTAACATTTAATTTTGTCACGAAAAATAAAGGAAAGGAGAAACAGAACAAAAAGACAAAAAAATGGTAGAAGAGTTATCCCTCCTCTTGTTTCTCTTGTTTAGCATTAGAATAATAAAATCAACTTATAACCTTTTATATGTTCTTTTAAAATTTATTTTAACAGATTTTATGATTAAACATGAGTAAACTTTCATTGTATATGAATTTATTAAGTATTTGATTAAATTATTTACTTAATAAAGCTTCAAATTTTAGTAAATTAAGGTCATGATATCATTACTCATGTACATACCAGATACAAAATGAGGCTTACAAATTTATTCGTCTTCTCTTCCTTTTCATCCGGGAGGAAGAAGATGAAAAACACAGAAGATTTAGTTCTTATTTGGTTTTTTATTCTACAAACAGAATTACCAAAACAAACGATTATATGCATGAGGACACTAAATATAAAGTATGTTGGACAGTTGTTATTTCTTCTTCGTTTTTCTCTGGATCGATTTTGAGCATTGCACAAGCAGGCTCTTAGAAATTATCATCCCTCTAAATCCTTTATATTCATCTACAAGTGCATACTGAATATGGAATAAGTGAATGTAATGGCAGCTGCTAAACTACTTTTCAGATCAAATGATACAAATGTAAATGATGTGTTTATTAATCAAACAAATAAGATTAGCCTTAACAAAATTGATAACCATGAACAAGAAGAAAGAATTAAAGAAAAGTGCAAGCACAGAGAAAGAGAATGAGAGACTTGGAGAGAAAAGTCTAGAATTCCACATAATTGTCCACCTTTCCCCTTAGCACATTCTTTGCCTTTTATCCTTCTTTAGTAGCTTTATGTGGTGCTTATTTTCCATCATCATGCATATAACATTTTATTACTGCGTTGAAAACTTCAAACACATTAATACTTTATTCCTTTAGTAATTAAGAAGATTTGTAAGAACAAAGATCACGAAGATTTAGAATTATTCAATACTAAAATATTTGAATATGGATTGTTATTTGGTCTCTTCAATGTATCTTAACTGGATTATTATTTTGTTTCTTTAATACATCTTAACTAGTAAAACATGTAGCAAAAGTGTGTGGATTTAAGTTTTTTAATTCACCTTAATCCTTTTTTCACCTTTTCTTTTTCCCTTGACCCAATGGTATGTCCATTTTTCGAATGAATATTTTCAAAAAAATAACATGAATTTTATGAACTAATATAAAACACAACAAATTAATAAACACAAAGCACGTTTACAAAATGAGTAATTTTTATTTTTATATAAAATTTGACGAAATATATTACGAATAACCATTTAAGTTACAGAATAAAACTATTGATAGAATTGATGGAAATAAATAAAATCATTCCACAACTTTCCTATGTAAATTTTGTGCAATAAAATTGTATCACAAATATCATAAACAAGAAATGATAGGAATTGAAATGGTGCAATGTGGTTGTGGGAGTAAAACAGAATGTGAGAGATGGATCTACGACCACACGTGGCCTGTAGGATTCGTCGGTTCAGATATTATTCCTTCTTTGATCGCTTAAACTGACAACTGTATACTTAAAAATTGAATTCAATTTCAGTCTATATATTTTTTACTATTAATTTATGTTATTTTTCCATTTTACTTGTCTTTATAATTTTATTCTTACTGTTTAGCATTATTTTTATTTTTCTTTTTTTGTTCTGTAACTGTCATTCATCCAAAAAATTATTTGAGATAATATTTTTCAAAAGATAATTTTTTATTTTTTAGAATAAAAATATTTAAAAATAAGTTAAATCAAGCACGCAATAATTTGTTTAATATAAAAACTACATCTTATAATTTTATATTTTAATCATTCAAAAAATAAAATGTTAAAAAATAAAAATTTAATATCAACTAGAAAATCCATTAAATCAATTTATTTCATTAGAACAATCGTGCAAATGTTAGTCTTCCTTAGGTAACCTAATTCCTCGTGCAATCGATTTACCTTTCTTTGGCTTTTATACTAACCAGATTAACATACATGGATATCACAGAATTACAAAATCAAACTAAAAAAATAATTTTATAATAAAATAAGCATTGCTTATAAATTTCATACATAAATTATTAAAAAATAGAAAAAAATAATATGAAATATATTTTTTATAACTAAGATTAATAAAAAAAATTAAATTATACTAAATACACTTACTTTTATTGTTAATAATTATATATAAAATGTATTTTTTTGTTAATATGATATTAATATTTATAACTATATATTGTTTTAATTATCACTGTTTGACACAAATAATAAATGTAATATATAGTTATAATTAAGGTTTAGATTGACAAAAAAAAATTATCACATATAGTTTATTTTTATTAAATAAAAAACATATAAAGAATAATGTTTAAAAAATATTTTAATAATAAGTTATATATTTATATGTGTTAATATAAATCCACAATCCTTATATAATAATGGTGTGTTTAAATGTAATTTAATTAAATAACTATTTAATAATGCTCTTTTTCACCCATTTCAAATAATAAATAAAAGATAGACCTTTGCCTCAAGGTCTAAATTTAAAAGGTATAAGTTCATGCTATTTATTAAAGACAAGTCGTCACTTTTGATCTAAGTTAATTGGACTTCAAATAGAGTATTAGAGAGCAAATTTCACTTTAACATATTAAAAACAAATTAAATAATAATAGACTTATGGTTCCAAAGAATAAATAAATAAATAAATAAATATATATATATTAATAATAAGGCTACTAAAGTTAAAAGTTTACTTACTCTCTTGTACTTTTAAACATGCATAAAATTCAAAAGATTAATATAAATTGTTATAATAATTGAATTTTCTTCACATATAAAAAATATTGTCTACTATTCTTTCTTTTTCTTATTATTATTATTTGGTTTCCTTTCCTCATAAAATCATAAAAAACAAAGAAGTTGAAAACATGACGAATATGAGCATTCTAAGGCACAAATCCCAAATCATAAAGCTCAAAATGACATGCCTTTTCCTGTTCCTTTAACATAAAATTAAAACAAAGATAAAAAATGGGAATGGACTACTTTTTTGTCGCCATTGTCACTTCTGAAGATTTTGGCTCAATGCTTTTGATAAGAGGGAAGAAAGAAAGTAGAGAGAGAAAAAAAAAGCTAAGTGAGACAAAATCATTTTGACCAAAATAAAACGATCGTAGTCTATTTTTGTCAAGTGGCCAGACGAAACTTATTAAAAGATGAATAAAAAATAATAGAAAAATAAATTTGAAAAATACATCAAGACTTCAAATAATCATAAAAAGTAAAAACAAAAATATAACTTGACCTTAAAGAAACAAACTTTAAATGTTAATCCACAAGTTAAAATTAATATTCAATATTTTATTACTAAATTTTTTATAACTATTATACATTAACTACATTGTTGTCAATGACTTTTAACCATTATAGTTTTAGAAATTCGGTAAAGATCTACAGCATCTTACTTTCTTCAGCAATACTGTCATATAATAATATTAAATAGATAATAAATTATAATATTATTTTATAAAATTATATAGTTAAATATTGATAATCTTTCATTTCAGTTTCGATTTATAAATTACCTATTTGTTCGAGTGTAATATTATGTTAGTTGTTTTGATTGCTGTAAAAAATATATAAAGGAATACAATTTATTAAATTTATGCCTATGTTTATTTAAAACACATAGAATATAATACAGTAATACTATTAAATACTATAATTTTTAACAAAAAATTATTATAAAATTCTTATTATATAAAGTGGGACACGTTAAAAAAAATTGAAAACAATAATCCAAATCCTCTAAAATGCTAAATACATTTTAAGATAAGTTTTTCACCTATACAATATTTTAAATAATAAATGTTATATTTTTTAATAAAAATTTACTGTATATAATTTTTATTATATGTAATATTACATAAACTAAAAATAATAATTTTAAAAAGCAACGCATTGAACTATAATTATTAATTATTTAAAAAATAATTTCCTAATACATCATAAATACACGTATATTCTATGACAATCTTAATTATTAATTTGAATATCAACTATTAATATAATTGGGTGTATAACTATAAAGTAAAACAGTGAGCTAACAGAAGAAAGAGAATGTAATTAAAAGCAGAAGAGAGAGACATTTATAACGATAACAGAGAGACATAACCATTATTAGAAGTAAGTGAGTGGTCAAATTACGGTTCAAGAAATCCCTTTTGGGTAGACTCATTGCCCTTTTCCCTCCTTACTCCGAGTCCCTTCCTTCCCTTTCCCTCAATCATCTCATACTATAAACTCTTCGCAACTCTCTACCTTTTTGTTTCACAAATTCACACACACTGTTTCTAACCCCTACCCATAATTTTTTTTTTCAATTTCAATTTTCAGTTTCAGTTCAGGTCTGCGTGTAGCTACTTATATAAGATCCGGTGCTAGAGAAAATGACCATGGATGTGAATCATTTGCAGAGGAAGCTACGCGACCACCAAGCTGCTCTGTTTCAACAGGTTCCTCCTATAGCTTCTTTTTTTTTTTTTTTTTGCAGATTATGTTATATACTCTTCACTTCAATATGTGGAGACCTATGGTCAACGCCAATAGTAAATACGTATGTATGTATATATGCGTCTTGATTGCTACTGTTCAGTTCTCTTATTCAGAATACGACGTTGCCGTTTGTCCCCATGTTTGTTTCTTTTGTTGGAGAGAGATTCTGGGAGTGTGAGGTCATTTTCCGTCGAGAACCCTCCTCCCCTTTTTCTCTTTTTACAAAAAGATTGAACTTTTAACTTCTTTTTCTTGCTTTTGAGAAGAAATCAAGTCAAGGGCTTGGTGATTTCGATTTTCAATTTGTAGTATTTGTTTGGGGAATTTGGATTCGTTGTATTTGTGAAGTTCGATGTGATGATGGGTTGTTTTTGTTGTTGGGGGTGTAGGGGTTTCTGGATGATCAGTTCAGCCAGCTTCAGAAACTGCAAGATGATAGCAGTCCAGATTTTGTGATTGAGGTTGTCACTATGTTTTTTGATGATTCTGAGAATCTCCTCAACAACATGGCACGTGCTTTGTAAGTATTATATTATTCTGTCTTTTTTTCCTCTCTCGCTCTAATTCAATTAATTTAATTTAAGTAGTATGAATGATGTGAAGGGAAATGCTAAACTAACTTGGTTGGTTGTGTTTGACTTGTGCAGAGAACAAAATCCCGTTGATTTCAAACAAGTAGATGCTCATGTCCATCAATACAAGGGAAGCAGTGCCAGGTATAAATATATTTGATTTCGTATGTGTGTATTGTTGCACTCAACTTTGGTCGTGGAAATATATGTACCGAGAAAGGTGTTTTTTTTTTTAAATTATTATTATCATTGTGATATTGTTTGTTTAACAGTGTTGGAGCTGCAAGAGTTAAAAATTTGTGCGCCTCCTTCAGAAATTTTTGTGAGGCTAAGAACCTGGAAGGGTGAGTTCTAACACATTCTCTTCCCTTCTCTGCAACTTTAGCTGTCTTAAATCTTTGAACGTGCACTTTACGCTATTGCTCCAACATTCGTATCTCATGTCATGTGAATTATGTTGGTTTTACATTGCTTGTTTAGCAAAATACACTCATTTATGATTCACTAGTCCCCAAGTTGGTTAGGTTGTCAAGTCAGTAGAACTTTACATGTGATTTCTTAAGCTTTAACAAGTTTCCAGAGATCTATTTCAGCGGAAACATTTTAAAGTACATAATTCATCTTAAATTAATATGATAGTGTTTTGTTCACGTTCTTCTAAAATATAAATGACACAATTTTTTGGCATGTATTGTAAGAGTGGGCAATTATTTACCCCTATCTAGAACACTGTCTCTTCTGCACATCTTGATTTGCTTTAATTTGGTCAAATAATTCCCTCTACAGTTTTTTGTTTACTTAATCATTTTGTTTAATAAATTTTATAACGCGCTTGGCAAACTTCTAAAGATGTAAAAATTAATGTATAAAATTCTATTACTCGTGATTAAAAAATGGTAACAAAAAGTGATATATGTAGTTTGGAAGTTTCCTAACTTAGTGAAATTTTGTTTCCCGAATAAATTACTATAATCGAATCTGATATAATTGAGGGTTATTTAGAATTTTCAGGATAGAATTTTATAATTATTCGTGATTGTCTAAAAGTTGTAAATAAAGAGGTTTTTGTGATAAGAGAAAAATACAAGGTTACAAAGGAATTTGAGCAGAATCTCCGAGAAGGCAATGCGTGTGTAGACTATCTGGCTCGCGAGTGTTTGAAGCTGGATTTTGGATTCCGCTAGATTCTCAAATCAATCCCGATTTACACATAGCTAGCCTTTTATTCGCTGATTATATATAAAATGAAAATGATTAAGAATCTATGACCATAAGATTATACAAGGAAAAAACGATTCTCCTCTGTTTAGATGTTACGTAAAAGGAAATTATAAATTTATTCAGATGTCAGAACTTTAGATTGGGAGTTTTTGTATAGAAATTATTGTTAATATATACTGACTATAAAATTCAGATACGGATCTTTTCTTAAAAAAGTGTTATTTTTTAAGATCAAAAGGCAAATAAACAACTTTATGAGATTCATCAAAATTTTTTAATACTTTCCTTATATGTACTTTCTTTACTTTTCCAAACGAGATGAATAGATATTTGGATTGAAATCCCGATACTCTCTACCTTGTTTACCCAAATAAAATATCCAACAAAAGAACAAATAAATTTCCCTTAGTCTGCCACATTTCATTGAGAAAATAGTATTGGAAACAAGGATAGGGAACTAGTAATTTGAATAAATGATATATTTTTCATTACAATGGTTTCCCCCTAGTCGGTTTCTCCAAATACCCTTTCCACTGAAATCAAATTGTCCTAGACTTCGAACTATGATTTCAAAATTTCGAACCCCAGGAAGAAATCTAGTTTTGTAAGACAAGACAGCCAGCAGTACTCTTTGGAACAAAGGATCTTGCTGTTTGATAACAATGGAAATTGAAATAATGAGGACTGAGATTTTAGAATATGAAATAAAAGCAAAGACAATTGATGAGAGCTGAGAATAACTTCATCTGTTTTCTTATTTATACTTAGATGGTTGAGGGCTTTTGTTTATGTCGTCATGATTATACTGCAAAGTCTTTAATACTTGTTTATGCACCAGTTTAAATCAAATGTGTTAGATAGGTGATGTAGCTGCCATCACAGTTCATGGACCCACGCTTATCTGTGTTTTGATGAATGATTAGTATAGATTAAATGCTACTTATTTCCTGTTAATCTTTTGATTTCTTATAGTTCAAAACTTAGTGATTCAATTGATTCTTGAAGTGAATGTGAAATGTTCTTCATATGTGCTCATCTTTTAGGAGATTTGCTATTTTCCAACTCACTCTTAATTGACCTATCAAAAATGCCTATACGAACTCAATTCATTATTTCGGGATAATAATTAAAACCAAAGGAAAGAGGGCTTTAGGATGAAAACATAAAAATGCAATTGTAAGTTCCTTATTTTTGAACACAGAATATTTTTTTTTACTTCAATCTTTGGACTGAAAGAACAAAAAAATGATATGATTCAACCTCAAACCTATTTGAGTGTAGCTGATAACAGCGGAGCCCACGAATTGATGTGTATTCGAATCTTAGGAGCTAGTAATCGACGATATGCTTATATTGGTGACATTGTTGTTGCTATAATCAAGGAATATAACTTGAAAATGTTGATTGCTTGGGAGGCTACAAAAATTTACTCTTTCCATTGAGCTTTGAAATGATAGCTAAGCGAATAGATAATATGTTTACACATTACAAGAGATTAGGCATGATGATATGGCCTTAAATAAAGATGTTGGGCTAATTACTAAAAATTGTTGGTTCAGGTGTGTGAGATGTCTGCAACAATTACAGCAGGAGTACTCTCTACTGAAGAACAATCTTCAATACTTGTTCAGGGTAAGTACATATTGTCTGGTTCTTCTGTTGGACAACCTGAATTTCTTAAGATTCTTGTCCAACACTAATGCAGCTTCATATGCTTTATCTTGCATGATCTGTGTTTAGCTGTCCTACATGTTGTTTGAATCCTAATGTATAGTGCTCAACTATATTTCTTGTTTTCAATTATTGCAGCTGCAGCAAGAGATCAAGGCTGCTGGTGGTTCTATTCCCACACAATAGAGTAGATGGAGGTGACTTGATTGCCAACAGGTGAAAATGATAACAAAGTGAAGCTTTTGATGGAGTAGTGATTTGTTCTTTTCCTTTTCTTGGATTATTCGTTCAGAATTATGTCAACAGTTTGAATGATGAGACAGTGCTGATGTGAATAAGCTTTTCTTCCCTAGTTTGTTACATACATATGATATGATTCTTTTCCAATAAACTGTTCACTTGTTTAAAGTTTCCCATCTGTGGTGATCAAGTTTCTATTGACTCCCCTGTAAATGTTAATCCTTTTCTTTTTTATAGGATTTAGCTCTTCAACTCTTAGGTTCAACTCATAAATAATTTGAAGAAGTTTGGAATTCTTAGCTTGTGGAAAAAATACTGAATAAGAGTTTAAAGCGATTTATGAAAAATCCCGATTTTCTTTCTTTGTTTTAGGAAACTCCCAAAGAAAACAAATGCTAAAAAGTTCGTCCGTTTCTTCTCTCTTAGATTACTCACTCAAAGACAATCTTAGAGAAAATAAAATGAAAATAATAACTTGGCCTTTTGATGCTGTGAATGAAATACATCCTTGTAGACGCAGTGTGTGATGAAGTATTGTTTTCACTTTTTGGTCCATTGATCAAACGGTATTTAGGCCTCCACTCTCCTGCAACCTTCAATGGGCCGATAAAATAATAGCCCAAATATTAAAAAAAATGGCACACACAATTGCAGCGCAAAAAAATAATATTTTTTTATAATTTATTAGAAACAAGGGCATAAACTAGGGAAGAGTAAAAAGTCATTTTTGGAAATTAATATTGACAAAATTTGAAAAAAAAATATAGTGAAGCTCATAGCTTATTATAAACAATGGGCCGATAAAACCTTTTGTTTGATCATTTTCTCTCTTAATTAATGATTGTTCTATTTATATAATTAATTAGTTGACATTTTATTACTATTAATTTTAATCAAAATATACATATTTTATTATTAAATGATCTGTTATACTTTCTATTGATATTGGAAACGTTTTCAAATCTAGTTAAGATAACACTTGTCTAACTTTTGCCCAATATTATCTGTCTTTCAACAATTTCCTTGTTCATTTTAATAATACAATATATAGTACTGTTGTATTTGAGAACAAGTGAGAAACTTAACAATGGTAGGCAGGGAACTTAAATTTATTTTTAGAATTAAAAGTTTTAAATAAAGTTATATAATTAAAAAAAATACATAAATTGACATAATTATATACAGGGTTTTTTTTTATGGTAAGTAATATAAAAATATTTGATTCTTTTAAAATAAAAATACTACATATAAATAATAAATAATGTTAACAATTCATGCAATAAATACTTCTTAATGGAAAGAAGATTTTTAAAACTAAAAAAAAATAAAATTTTACATATGCCGAAGAGTTGACGCAAAGATACAAAGATTTTGATGATATTTCGTTGTCTATAACTTCTGTAAAAAATATTTTTAAAAAATGAATTAACTTTGTAATTAATGAAAAAATAGTTAAATAAATTTGATTATGACCGTTTAATAAATAGTTTTTTTGTTCCTAAAAACAAAAAAATAAAAACTTTTAAATTAAACTATAATAATTATAATTATTTTTTAAAGCTCATTTTAAAGTTTATTTTAAGTCTACATCAATATGATAGGTTAACCCTGTATGATGCAATTCCACACTATGTTTTGGACACTCATACGTAACAAAATCTGAGCTAATTCATTGAGATTCATTCCAACTTTGTTTTTTTTTTCAATATTAAACTCACCTTAATTACATTTTGTGCAGAAGATTTGGTAAGTACAGGTAGTGTGAAAGAAAAGTAACTATTTATGGGGAATTAAGAGAGTTAAAAATGTGGTGGAAAAATAACCTCATGATGATAGGAGAAAGCTGGATGAAAAAGACAGTACAATAAAGTTACATTAATACGCATGCGGAATGAATACGCCAGATAGAAGTAGTGCAATCACCACGCCAACCTCAAAAGCCACCACCTCAAACTCCATAAATTGAAGGGTATGTACTAGAATAACTGTGTGTTCTCGGTTGTTGTGGTTGGTGCATGCAATCCTCTCTTCTTCTAACAATGCCAGGACCATTTGGCCACCATCTGGTTTTGTTTTCAGAGCTACCTCCCACCATTTCTGCTGTAAAAAACAGTAATGATTGGTGATTTTAACATCAGAAAGATGTTAATCATATACTTTTATATTATATAGTCGTCTATTATTAACTAAAATTAATTTTTATATAGTTAATCTTAGTCATAACTATATCATTTTAATCTAGTGATAAAAAAAAAAAGTGTATCAGAAGAGCTTGCTTTTGTATGTAAGCGTCCTGGTTGCTTGCTTCTGTATGCTTGGGACCAAAGTCAGAGACATGATTTCTTTTGCATTCATAAAAAATGCTTTCTATCTTTGTCTTTATGGCTTGGCTGGATTTGAGTTTGGGGTGGACACATTTCCATCCACAATATTAATATTCTTCACTTCTGTTGCATCCGATGCCAACTTATAGCTACTGGTAGTACTACTATCATCAATTTAATTACTTAATGCTATAATTTTTAAAGATTTGTAATTATTTTCAATATTTTATAAAATAAACATCAAATAAAAATAAATACATTTCATGCCTTATTATGTATTTCTTATTTTACATTTTAAGTTGTTCAGAACCAATAAAATTAGAGAAATTCACTAGTTATAAACCCTGATATAATATTAACTCTCAACCTGAAATTGTCATGCGGGCTTGTGAGAAAACTTGTTCTGGACGTAACCACTTCTTTTAGCAAAATAAATAATTACAGGGTACTAGTCTTAAGCTATTCACAATCATATGTCCTTTTTTTCAAAATTGGATTTTTTTTTATAGGCTTAAATAAGCTTTTTTTAATAAAAGTCATACGATATAGTTTTAGTTTTTATAAAATATTTTGTTAAAATATATTTTTTATTTTTTATAAATTATTATTTTTAGGTTATCTAAGTGAGGTGGCTTTGTTTGACAAAAAGTTAATTACACCTATTTCTATATGTATCCTTTACTACCAAACTAAACTCCTGGTTATGTCACCGCAACCAATCACAGTTTGGTCAAATTGGTCTCTGTGACTTCTCTTTTTGGTTAGATTGAAAATATAGAGACTTGTTTGGTCATCATCAACAAAAATATCAAAGGGCAATACTAACTTAATTTGAATGGTGTTGTGTTCATTTGAAATTCTCATAATTTGTTTATAGTATATTTTTTAAATTTTTATGACATTATTTATATTATATTATATTTTATTTTTATCTCTAAAATAGCGTTACTCAGTTGATTTTACAGTTGTATAGCTTTTGACCCACGCAAGTAGAGCTGAGATAGATTTAGCAAAAGAAAAAGAGTAGAGCGAAAAAGATGAACAATTTAGGGAAGCGAAACAAACTTTCCCCAAGGACGTAGCAGAGCACATGATAATTGATTTGATTCTGTTATGTTGACTTACATTCTGTATGCAAGAAAATAAAGGGACCATGACATGAACCCACTCTTTCACACTGTAATTGGTGAAAGCTTAAAGCAGAATGTGAATTGCGAAACAAAGCTTCGTAGTAAGCATATCTTTGACCGAAAATGCATTTGACTAAGCTTACTTCAGCTTCAAACCACCGCTTTTTATCCGAGAGAAAGTGAAATATTAGCGTATGTTTCTTTTCTGATAAGCGAATGAAAAGTGGGTACAAAGGGTCGACTGGTGCATCCCCAAAGTGTGCTCTTAGTGGCAAGTGAAGGAAAAATTAGACAAAAAAAAGGAGATTTTCAAGTTACGGGGTTTTTGTGATGGTGGTTTGATTTTTAATTAATGATGAGGAATGAGGAAAGTAGTTATTTGGGTCTCTAATTAATCGATGATGCTAGTAATAGAACTCATTTATCAAATATCAAATTCATGGTTGATTTGGTAGGACTTGAACAATGATATTCCTTACTCAAAGCAGAATTGGAAGCAAATGAGGAATACGCATTTATTATTTATGATTTATTTCATTGATAGCGTCTACGAGAAGTGGGTGAAATTAGTGAATTCTTCTTCATTCCTCTTCAGTTCTACCATTGTTTCATCTCATTTTCGCTTGTGATATTTCAACTGCATAACTTAGCTGTCACTTACTCCCTCACCCTCTCTCTCTCTCTTCCTGCTAGATTCTCCTTGTTTGGTTTGGTACACTGCCTTTTGCGAGTGAGACAAGAGTAAATAACTCATATGGTTGATTATAGCATCTTCCTGCGTAAGTTTGAAAACTTTTTTATTTAATTTAAATTAAATTAAATATTCAGATTAAATGTAATAGTTTTTAAATTTATATTAATATAAAAAAAAATTCTATTATTTATTAATATTTTCATAAATACACTGTTTATAAAAAAATATTATCCAATACTATTTTTAATCTATTTATAAAAAAAATAAGTATCTAATTTATCAAAATTAATAAAAAAAAGTATATATTATAAATGTATATTCTACTCCAAAAATATTCATGACATTAAATAGTCAAATTAGTATTTTATATATTAAATAAATGAGTGTATATATATGTAATAAATGATTATTTTATTAATACAAATTTTACAATAAATAAATTAATAAAAAGTATTTTTTCTGAAAATATTTTTTTATAAATAAGATTAAAAAACATTAATGGTTATTTTTTATAAATAAATAAAAAGTAATATCTTGAAAATATTATTTAAAAAATAAAAAAAATACTTCATTATAATTTTTAACATAATCTCTGCTCTAACTTTTAAACAAGAAATATTTTTAAATTTTTAACTAATACTTTTACAACATATAATAAAATTTTGTGAAAACACGCGTCAAAATGCATAAAAGATTATGAGAGTAAATGTATTTATATCTTTTTTATATAAAATTTGTATTCATTAATTAATGTTTTTAAGAGATTTAATAGTATTTTTTATAAAATGAATGATAAATAAGAATACATATATTTATTATAATAAAAATATTAAATATCTTTATTTAATATTTTATAAAATAAACATAAAAAATAAAAGAAATTAGAATGATTCCTTTAATGTGGAACCAAAACTAAAAAATCTTGTGTCCATTATCCTATCCTCCGAGTATGCACCGGGTGACAGATGATTGACACGTGTCACTCAATTTTTCCCCGTGCCACCAAAGGACGAAATAACCAAACCCAATCATTTTGACAGCTGTTGGAGTTACGGTCTGGTTTCCGGTTCGGGAGAGAGAGTCACGTGCAGCAGAGGCGAAGCAAGGGTGCAAAGTGCGATGACGTGTCGTCAGCAGCTGAGGTATGGAGGCCAAGTAGGCTCGGACAACCGTTTGTCGAAACTGTTCCCAAGAAAGAGAAAAGAATAAAAAAAAGAAAATGAGAATTGATTAACGAGAGAGTGTGGTTGGTTGGAAGAGAAAGAGTGGCAATAGCAGACATTGCATTGCGTCTTCTCTGAGAAGCCAAAACAAAAAGATTCAGAGATACACCAATTGCTTATCTTCCAAGCCTAATCGCTTTCTCTCTTTTCTTTATAATCTTTCACTGTTAGATGCTGATTGTTCCATTCAAGCACTTACCACAAACAACCCTATAAAGCCCTCTCTTTTTTCTTCTTCTTCGTCCATTGGGTTTCAATGGCGAAGTGCATCAGTGCTTTACACGCAGTGGTTGTGCTTTTCTTCTGCTTCCTACAAACGCACCTTCACGTTGTCGCCATTTTGGACCCAGCTGATTTCTTAGCTCTGCAATCCATTCGTAAGGCTCTCGAGGACATGCCAGGTTCTGATTTCTTCGCTTCCTGGGATTTCACCGCAGACCCTTGCAACTTTGCCGGCGTTTACTGCGATTCCGATAAGGTCATCGCCCTCAACCTCGGCGACCCCAAGGCCGGTTCCCCGGGTCTCACTGGCCGCCTCGACGCAGCCATCGGCAAGCTCTCTTCTCTCGCTGAGTTCACCATCGTTCCCGGAAGAATATACGGTCGTCTACCCGAATCTCTATCCAATTTGAAGAACCTGAGGTTCCTCGGCGTTAACCGAAACTTTATCTCCGGCGAAATTCCGGCAGGGTTAGGCGAGTTGCGCAACCTTCGAACCATCGATCTCAGCTACAACCAGCTCACCGGACGCATTCCTCCCACGGTAGGATCCTTACCGGAGCTAACGAACTTGATCCTCTGCCACAACCGTCTCTCCGGTTCGGTTCCCCGGTTCCAGTCGCGAACACTAACCCGACTGGACCTGAAGCACAACGCTCTCTCCGGTTCGCTGGCTCCCAACTCTCTCCCTCCGTCTCTGCAGTACCTCTCTCTGTCGTGGAACCAACTCAGCGGGCCAATGGACAAGCTTCTGGGCCGGTTGGAGCAGCTGAACTATTTGGACCTAAGCCTGAACCAGTTCACGGGCCCAATCCCGGGGCGAATCTTTTCGTTCCCTTTGACGAGTCTCCAATTAGAGAGGAACCAGTTTTCAGGAGCTGTGGAACCGGTGGATCAGGTGACGATCCCAACCGTTGATCTGAGTTACAATCGGTTATCGGGTGAAATATCGGGCCTGTTGGCGAGCGTGCAGAACCTGTACCTGAACAACAACCGGTTCACGGGTCGGGTACCCGCTAGCTTCGTGGAGCGGTTGTTGGATGCGAGCATTCAGATACTGTATTTGCAACATAACTATCTAACGGGAATTGAGATAAGCCCAACGGCGGTGATTCCAGAGAGAAGCTCGCTGTGTCTGCAGTATAATTGCATGGTCCCGCCCGTAGAGACTCCCTGCCCTTTGAGGGCTGGCAAGCAGAAATCACGCCCAACTCAGCAGTGCAACCAATGGAGGCCCTGACCCATACCCATACCCATACCCATCACATCATATAGATAGGTTCCTTTTCCTATTCCTCATCCTTTGCCTTTTCATTCATTATTATTTCATTTTGCTCAACTTATGGCCCAATGAATAAGAATTTTGTGAATATTTTTAGGTTATATTTAGATAGTGTCGCTCTTTTGGTTGAGGAGGTTCTCAAGTTTTATGCTCTGTGTTATCTATATATATTACTAATGTAATATGATTCATTCGCCAAAAAACAAAAGCTAAACTGTTGATCATTGTTATTATGAAAAGTATCTTAGCATTGGCTTGTTGCTTCAGTGCATATTGGAAGAGAAGAAATGGCAATGTGATGTGGAACTTTGGAGTGACGTATCAATGCCAATTGGTGATAGTTCCATTCTTTTCAGTTTGCTAATTTTTAGGAGAATTGTGTGACACACGATGATTACAATTTTTCAGCTTCTATCCTTTTGGGGAGAAAAGGTGTGGTGGCTATTATTGGGTACAATTACCGTTTCTTCAGCTTTTTCAGCCAGTGTGCTCCCTACAATGGAAAGTGGTTGTTGGAACAACCATTCGGGGATCACTTTTTGCTTTGTAATTGTAAGCTTTTTATGAGGCTTGGGTCTGGACTAGACTCCTTTTATCTCCTCTCTTTTCTGGGTGTGACTGTGGCAAGAAGTAAGCATCATAGAAAAAAGAGAGTGAGTTTAGTTAAGGTTAGATCACACTTACTAAGGGGCACAAGAAGCAGGAAACAACCGAACACAAATCGTCAACTACCCAATGCCACTCCTATATCTAACTCTTTGTCGTCTCGGGTTGTGTTGACTTGTTAGATTGGATGTTGTAGATCAGATCACAAGTTAGAAGTTTTAGCACAATGCATGTCTATATCTTCAAATGTATGGTAAAATCCATCATCATAAAGTTTAACTTCTAATTTTGTTAATTTGTTTGGCCAATGCACAGGGAATTTTCGTGCGATCCCCAACCATCACATAGAAAACCTTTATGAGAAAGTGCATAGCAATCCTTCTTTTTTACACATTTCAGTCATTTCATAAGATTGCCTATAAATAAATTAAAAATATTCACTACAATTTTATCAGACCGTTGTCATCCCCAAAAGAACTGTAGCCTTCCGTTGGAGGCATCAACCCTACACTCCATTTTTTTTTTGTCTTCATCGTATCGAGTGTACCCAATTTACTCGACATTTCAGTCATTTTCCTTGTGGAATCCCATGTTTTATCATCTCATGATGATTTGTTCGTATAGTTAACATATTTGCTTTCATTATCACTAACCAGACAGCAGACACATCGGGCCCCCAAAGTTTTACAGTTTGTTAAGATAGCACCCTGGGAAGTGCGGGCCTTCCGGAGAAACAACTAGCTCACGCCAATGATGGGAGAATTTTCTCCTTTCTTTTAAAAGAAAAAGCTCTTGAATTTCTTTTTACTCTTCTACTTTTTAAGCAGAACCTATACCCGCTCTTCTATAACAATTATTATGAGGTCTTTCAAAATCATAACCAAGGTATGATTGACAAAGAAAATAATACGATAAATCACCAAGACAAGGACAATGATAAGACTAAAATTCAGATTCTTATGACACCCACAACCATAAGGCAACAATAAAGTAGGCATCTTCGAAGTGGCGACTTTGCAAAGAGATGCTATTACTTCTTTTCTTTTTTTTACAGCTAACTGATGGAGAACCGCCTAACTTCAACCAAAAGCATTAACTTTATTCCTGATATATTTTCTAATTTGTAAAGTAATGCACAGAAAATTATATATAATTTTTTATTAAAAATTACAGAATTTAATGCATTATTATTATTATCATTATTATTAAATACTACAATTTTCAATAAAAATTACTATACATAATTTTGTATTCTTTGTTAAAAAAATCAATTCATGATATTCACAAATGCGCCCCATAACAAGTAGGGATACAGCGTACATGTAAATGCTTCAGCAAAAGTACGAGGCAGCAGTCTAGTCTAGGTTCACCACAAGGAGAACGCACCAATTAATGACGCATTGGTTCGATATAACTGATTTATTACAAGCACGGCTACTAATGAATTAATCCCAATCTCGATTTACATGGTTATTTATGTACCAAGGTTTTGTGGTAGTTCATGTTATACCTTATTATGTCAAACACCATATACAATTTCATTAACAGGATCATTTCATAACTGATTCGACTGACATCATAGGTAATCTTCATAAAAATGTCTTTTCCATACTCTCTTCTTAGTCGAAGAGGTTGGTATATCACCACTTGCAGCAAATTCCCATTTCACGACATCTCCATCCCAAGAAGAGCTAACAAGCATAGTGTGGAAGGGGTGCCAACTACAATCTCTTACAGGTGATTTATGGTGCTTCAGTGTTGCGACTTGAGCTCCACTCACCTGTAATGAATTATCAAACTTACCATCAAGAGAGAACCACCTACGAGGTTTTTCCTGGTTTTCTTTTCCGAGGAGGGGGGAGGACTAAATAAAAACAGCAGTTCAATCTAACGGCAAAATTCCATGAATTGGATAAAGCAGCATGCTCATGCATGCTGGCTAAGAGGATATCTATTACGTTACACTGCTATTCCTCCCAAATTTTGTTCAAAGTAGCCAACTCTCGTGGAATTTTGCATGCAATGGTGTGCATCACATTGCAATCCATAGTCGATGACACTCGTGTTTACAACGATCCATCCATCAACTATTATCACAATATTGTCCCAACTGTATACAAAATGAATATAACTCGAGCAGATAACTAAAATACGTACCAAATCATATATATAAACACATGCGTTGTGTGATCCAGTATAGATGTACTTCTGGCCAGTGCTGTAAATTTGAAGAAAACATTAGGCTAACAAAATTAATTAAATCCCCAACAATTCAAAAGTCAAATATCTTGTTGGAAAAAGCAGCATAAAAACACTAATTAATATGCTCAAGCAAGCTGCATGCTGGTCCAAATATGAACCCGACAAGACTTGTTTTTATTCTCCTGTCTCCCCCACCCAAAAAAAGAAAAAAAAAGGAGACTTTTTACCATTGGTTGACTCGCACAAACAATTGCAGCTTTAAGAAAGAAAAAGATCAAAAGGGACCATGACAAGAAAATGAAGAAAAAAAAATACAAAGCAAGGCCAATTTAGGGCTCACCTAAAAGCGGGGGAGAAATAGCAGCGGATAAGAGTCCGTAAGACTGAATGGCCTCTATAAGTAGCCACTGACTGATCACAAGGGTGACTCACATCTTTTGCTTGCGGAGGGTAATCCATCCACCTGTAATCCCATTCATAACTCCTATACCCAGGATTGCTGTAATAAAGAGAAAATTCTGTTATAGCATGTAAATGCATTGGCAACAATTTCGTTTAGAAATATCATAATCCTGGAAAGTAACAGACATCATTAGATAGAATAGAAACTTATAAAAATCACATGCAAGACTGAATTCTGAAAATCATCACATGATCTTTAGTTTTCCACACGGGCATGAAAACACAAATAGACACAGAATCACGGGTGATTTGGTTAGTTTAACATGAGTCCAACATGACACGTCATTCTGTAAACAAAATTATACAACATTTTCTGTATTTTTCATTTTTTGTAATGGAATGTAGCAAGTGCTGCATAGATATTTCAAAGTTAGTGTCATAATTTGATAACAAAATTTCCCAAGCATAATTAACTGATATACTCATTTAGGAAGTAAGATAAATTCAAATTCCACCATGATAACTTGAGAAAATGTGGGCATAAATGAACCTGTTTCCTTCTTGTTATGCATCAGCAGCGTAGCAATACTCATCGTTAGTATCCTAACATGATCTTAGCATAAATAAACACCATCACCGTTACTAATTTTTCCCCTTAAATTTTATTTTAGATGTGGAGACATTACATTAGAATATTACTGTAAAAGAAAAAGAGCATACCAGGTAACATTGGATGACATTTTGCGTATGTCCCAAAGTTTGATGGTCTGATCTTTACCATTTGAAATGAAATAGCGTCCATCTCCACGAGTATCAATAAATGTAATTCCCTCAAGGTGTCCCATTAAAACCCCTGCTGGCTTGCCTTTAGCAATTAAGCACCGCCGATCCCAAACCTAAACAAACTCATACATTAGAAATTGTCCTTCACAAAAAATCACAGGGAAAAGGACAAAACAACTCTGTTTATTAGATATAGAATTTCAGCAATAAGTGACGATGGCCAAAGCAAAGAACCCTGGCACCTAACTAACAACAACTTTCAGGTTTGATATTTATTTAACCTTGTATGACAATAGATTGATTTCTGTGTAAAAGGTGCCCATCACTTCCATATAAATCAAAAGTTGATAGGGAAAAAGAACATAATAACTGACTGAAGAAGCCATCTTATGCTGTAGAACAAACCTTGCAGAAACTATCATCACTCCCAGAGTAAATAAGATGACTAGTTTCATCAGCAAAACATACAGTATTGACATCAGACTGCAACATAAAATGAAAACCAAATGTTAGAATCGCTCTAGTTTAATATTTTTGAACCATCACTCCCCACAATGGGAATAATTTATACACAAAAATGAAAGAATGATTTAAGTCCAATCTAAGTGATATTTTTTGGCTATGACATTTTTATTTTTGTTTGGTAGCTTAGGGGGAGGTTGGGGTGCTGAGTAACAATAAAGGTCTCCAGTCAAGTCATCCATACCATCTCTAGATTATCTATTTCTTCTACACCATTATAACAAATCATATTTGTAAGTCTTCTTCCAGGTATTTCAAGGACAAAACGGGATTAGACCTTCGATGCTCCCCTCAGCCAAAAGATATACAAAAACAAGTGGTAGTTCCATATTTCATAACTAAAGAACCTCGACTTTTATATGTAAGCAAGCAAATTACAAACTTAGCATTGTGAGCTCAAACAAACGCTAGGTTTTGGTCAACTAATTAGAGCAGAAAATGGTTGCTGGATAAAGGTTTTTGTTTTCTAGGCCATTGTTCAACTTTTTCAGAGGAGCTCTAGGGCATCCTAAGGGGTTGGAATTAGCTTAAAAAGAGGGTTTGCAATATGTTATTATTGAGTACGATTCATCATCCATAGTCACTTTGCTGAACAAGGCTATGGCCGCTCATGTAACAACAGAATAGTTGAGCTCATAATCAACCAGATAAAAAGGCCTAGGCACATTTCCTTTTTTCATACTCTTCGTCAGGGTCACCGTTGCGGATTGTATGGCAAATTGGAGTCTCAATTCAGAGTTTCTTTATCAAAAAATGAGTAGTCCTCTGTCCAGTTTATCTAGATTAATTGTTGCTGATGATGTAGGGGCTTCCAAAAACCATGCTGTTTTATTTGTTGTTTAAGTGTGTTTTACTAGGACCTTTGCCCCTCTCTAATTACCAATAAAAAAAATTCAGATTCCTCCTCCGGATAGGAAAATGTACCCGCAGCCTCCAAATTTCTTATCTATTTTAATTTCTATTTATAAATATATCAATTAAACTGAAAATATCATACAAAATTTCAAACGCATTAGTGTAAAGGCACTGCCAACACATAAGGCGGTTCATATTCAGTTGAGAAATCTATCACACAAAAAACAAAACTTCCCTCTTCATGATATATACAATCAATTATATACAGCCTGTAACTAAATTATGAAATGAAACAATTTAATTCATTCTGCCACATAAACAAATAGATATCAAACTAAAACCCAAATCACTAAATAAATTTAACAATACCGTGTGAGCTAAAATTCGAAGTGAAAGCTTATTTGCTTCAAGATCATATACATATATAGAATCACCACTACTTCCTGCAACTAATTCTCTCCCATCTTTGGAGAATTTCACAGAGAAAATTCCAAAAGAGTATCCTCCATCATCATTTGATGAAAAATCTAAACCATCGTGTATCTCCTGCACATTATATAAGAGATGAAAATGCATTATGAACAGGAAAAACAATACGACTAAAAAGAATCTATACACTAAACATCTATCTGTATTGATGGACACATATCTTGAAAGAATCAATTTTTTAATATATATTCCTCTATAGTATTTGATAGCATTACAAACAATTGCAGCACTTATGGAATTAGGATAAAAATGAAAACTAAAAAGCAGCATTTGTTGTGAATACCGTAACATTTGCTACAGACTCTGTTTCAGCAGATCCAGCATTTACAATGTGCACAATGGGTGACATGCTGGCATAAACCTGAAATTCAAGAGTGCAAATGTCATATGAAAAAGTCTCACCACAGTACAATTATGGATTAGTACCCGTGCAGAAGGAAAACAATGGATTAAAAGGAAGTAGAACACAGTAACTTACCAGATAGTGTTGATCAGGGGAAAGAGATGTATCGGTGATTGTCCATCTCAAATTTTTGGCTAGAATGTTCTTCTGAACTTTCCAACCTTTGTCCACATTGTATATTCTTATGTGGCTTCCCTGCCAAGTGATTTAAGTGGAATAAAAACTATAGAATGTATATAAGGTTGAAGCTGAAAATATTTTACCTGGAACCCAGCAACAAAAAGAGAACCATCAGCTGAAAACTGAGACACATATGCTCGACTAGACATTTGGTCAATAAGCCAGGGACCATTTACAGGCAAATATCTGCTCAAAAGATGACAGCGATCAGCTGAAGAAAACCTTCCCCGTCCTGAATAATTAGATTCTCGACCTGCCAGCATTTTCACTGGTGAAACAGGCAACTCCGGCCTTCCGTATCCAACATGAACCAGTTGTTGATGAGGCATTGACTTCAACTTTGTTATTTGAGCAATTTCATTGTCTAAATTTTTCAATGGCCTTTTAGATTGTCCACTGCTAGAATCTTCATGGATGGCATTTGCTTCTTCACAAATACTGGATTCTATCTCTAGTCTACTCATAGCATAACCCATTTGGTCAATGTAAAGTGCACTGGCTGTGGCATACATAATTATTCACAGCAAAAGGCAAAATTTTGTAATGCTGAAGCATCTTGTCTACTGCAAAATCTTCATAAAATCTGCGTGTTCATTAATCCTACAAAAAAAGAAGCTCTAGAAGGAAAAATGAGTAAACAATTTGCATATAAATAATTAGAAACCATTATTAGAAAAAAAGTGTAGATGCCTAGCTAAAGCTCATCCAGAGCATAAAGCTCCTACAGATGTCTTCAAGAGAATTCCTGCCCTAAATTTGAAAATACTACACACCTGAAATATGTTTCCCTTCTTCCTAACTTTTATATCGTACCGCCTGCGCTAAAACACAGTAATAATAACTACCATACTCTTAAAAATAAGTCAACCACTGCCATGAGGCAGCCACTGGCTAGATGCCCTAGCCTGAAGCAAACCCTCCAAATGGATGGTTTGTTTGGGCTCTCTGCTTGTCTTCCATTTTCTGCCAGGTCTGGGCCTCAGCATCCGTCAAACAACAAATAGTCAAAGATAAATCTATTTCATTTCTCAAGTAGAATTGTAGAAAGTTAATACACTGTAGTGGACTCGAGTAAAGTTCATTTCCTGTGAAAAGCATCTACATATTAGTATTGATTTGGAAGAACTTCATAGACCAACACTGGTCTTCACCTTAAAATGGGATTGGCTTATTGTGTGGAAGCATTAAGTTTAAAGAAATTCAACAACCTTCCTACTACCCATATAAGGTTCAACGGCCAGAGAATTTGGCAAACATCATAATATTCTCAAGTCTGAAGAACATTTAGCAAAGCAAAAACAACCCCACCTCTCTGCACCCAAAACCCTTTCCATGTTCCAAAAACGTCGTCGTCGTCGTCAGAAACTTAAAATTTACAAGAAAGCAAAGAAAAACAGGAACGAATCATATTACGAGGAGAAAAATAGAATCAGAATTAGAAACGAATCGTCCACAGTTCCCCTTATCCCTAACTAACAAATAATCTTCCGCCGTGTGCAATATAATAAGAAAAATCATCGCTAGATCAGAAAGTCAACTAAAACGTGAAACCAAGGAAATCGTGTTCTCGAGTCACAATTAATCCGAAGGAAAGGAACAAATTATAATTTAATTATGTAAATCATTAAGAAGGCTACAATAATTAATAAATGGTACAGTGAATAGTGATACCTCTTAAGAGTTGAGGGTTCAGAGTGATTTTTGGTTTGTTTTCTGAGGTAATATATGTAACAAAAAGGGGAAACATTGAACGGATTTTTCTGCTTTTGGCACACAATCAATCATACAAGATATGTTTATGTAATATGAGTATGCTATTGCTATTACTCTCACTATTAAATATTGGATAAAGAGAGTGGTTGAAGGTGATATTACCAACACACCACTCTTTTATACCAAATTAATTAATTAATTAAATTTCTCTTTTATTTATTTTTCTTTGTTATTTGTATTTTCAGTAGCGTTTAATTTTATTTTTATGCAAAATTAAATAATGTTTAGCATGTATTAAACATAAATTAATTCAATTAAATGAAAACAATGTTAACTGTTCATAGAAAGAAACTGTAATCGTCGCATAAAATTGCTGAACAAAAATCTGTGAATTTAAGGGAAAATAAAATAAGTAGTTAAACACAGGTTTCTTTATCAACGTTTGGGGTTCAAATGTCGGTGAGAGGAAAAAAGCAACGGAAGTTATCTGCTTTTTTATTTACGAGATAAGTTTTATCAAAATAAAAATAATCGCAAATTTTTAGGTTAAAATTTCTCTTTTATCAAACAAGTTATAAGTGATATGACACTAAGCTTTTCTCAAGTAAAAAGTTATATTTTTCTGAAATATATTTTAGGTTTAAATAAATTTTCCTTTAAAAAATATTTTTTATTAAGACTCTCTTTTTTAATACTACTATTTTAACATTATGTATAAGGTATTGGTATGAACACTCAAAACTGAGATGTTATAATAATATGATTTTATCTTTTTAACGTGTCTTTAATTAAATATTTTTTATTATATTTTTTTTTTTATAATTTTTGTATTTTATTTGATTCACTAAATATTATACCTTTTTAATCTCTCTCTAGATATCATTTTTACATATTTATTTATTTTAAAAATTATAAATTTTCATTTGATTTCTTACTTAAAAAAATATAATATTTAGAGAAGTTAAATAAAAACGTTTGATAATAATTTTTTAATAGGAAACTCATTTGAAAAATTAAATGAGAAAATTGCAGATTTTTAAGGGATAAAATCTTGACGAAACCTACATTTTATAAATTAAAAATTAAGCATTAAAATATAGGGATTAAACTTATTCTACGCAAACTGATTAAGACTTCAAATAAAAAAAAAATACATACTAATTTTGTTATCATAGAATAAATGAGAAAGGTTAAGAACATTTTTCATTTAAAATACACAGATTTTTCAAAAAATATTGATTAAAGAGTACCGAATTTCTTTTAGGCTTAGATACATATATTCTTAATTTTTTAAAAATGTATTTTTTTATTTTAGTTTTGTATAAAAAAAACCACTTTTAGCTCTTAAAAATAATGTGTTTTTACATCTTATATGGTGTAGAAACTAAATCTAAATTATTTTATTAAATGTAAAATTAAAAAAAATACAATTTTTACAGAAAATTAAACAAAGTGTGGTCATATGTTCAAAAACAATAAACATATTTACACTTTTATTTCATTTATGACAGTACCTGATTTAGAGATTGATTATTATCGATTTCTATTGTCAAAGTTAGCATGGAAAGGAATATTGAGACAAATATACAAGCATGGACATGAAATTCTTTGGAATGCATTCCCATCATTACCGTGAAGATGTTCTCACCAAAGATTGAACCTGTGCAATCAATTTACTGCATAAGTTACTCTCTGGGATAAACTTCATTACTTGAGGGCTTAGAAATTTGAAACTGTTGATTACTTGATGGGACAAATTTTAGCAGCAAAGTTTCTAACCAGATTTATAAAATTGAAACTTGTGCATTAAAAACTTTGCGTGCGTTGCAATTAGTAGGCTTTACTGAGTATTTACAGACTCTGATATATTGAAAAATTAGATGTAACTTTCTCTTGAAAATATCATGTTTGTATTAATCGATATGAGATATGTCGGGTGACAACGATTTGTGTGAACTTTGGCTATATACCTCTAATGTATCTAAGAATTTTGGTTTGACAAGTGGTGGGGTTGGAATCTCCTGAGCTGACATGTAACTGGTATTAGTTGTGTTTCAATACAAAGTTTTAACACTTTCATGTGATTCATAATGTCACTGCCATGGGGTCAGGCATCTTTATAACACAATTGAGAAGGCAGGTGCAGAGTAATTTGACATTTGAGACATCATAATCTAGCTTCGTGTATTTAATATACACCATATAAATGACATTGTAATCCATTGTTGCCTCATTTTCTCCAATTTCTTTTCTTCTTTTATGTAGCTTTCTTTCTAGCTTATTGTTCATCCACTAAAACAAAACACCGACACCTGTTTGAACTAATGTATATGCAAAGCATGAACTAATCATTTTCAATCTCAAGTTATCAATCAAGCAGAAAAACGTATAAACGAGAAACATGTTTAAGTTAATAGGATTGAATTTAGAGCATGCTTTGTTGTATTCTAAAACTAAATTATTGGATAATTCTGTGTGTTTTGAAGGATCCAAAGTTTTCTGCTACGAGAGGACGCCCCGTTGGAACTAAGGGAAGCATCAATTGCCCCTTTCAAGTTTAATACTTTATAAAGCAATTCTTTTTATCAGAGCTTAAATTCACTTAATTTAAGAATATGTCACACTTTGTTTAATAATATTTTATGGAAATCGTTAAGTTCAAAAGTAGATCAAATTTCTATAATTTTAAAAATAATGCACCGTTAATCACATGACTTAATTTTTAAATAAAAATATATATTTACTATAAAAATGCAAATGTAAGAATATTTAACATAGGTAATTTTTGAGTGCATAATCATTCAAATATCATGTAATTCAACAAATATATTTACTAAATTTGTAGTTTACATAAAGTTATTAAAACATTAAGTGTCTAGACTTAATTATGGAATAAGGAATATGCAACAGCGTGTTTGAATTTTTGTTTAAATTCATGTTATTTAGTTTGCTAACATATTTTTAAATATACACTAAATTTCTGTAACTAAAAAAATGATTAAATGTTACCCCAAAATTCCAAAATCAAGGAGAATAGTTTTCTGCATGTGTTGTATGAAATGGAACAAAGGCATTTGATCAACTGCACACAAAAGGAAAGGAACAGCAACTTTCCCAATCTGTGGTTGTTTCAATTTCATTTTCTGTCTTTCTAAAAGTTAAAGTTCTTTCTGTGTATGGATTTTGGATACCATCAGAATGATGGAGCAGTTTTGGAAGTATATTTGCAAGAAATACTGAACAGATAAGTAGGTCCCAAGCCCATTTACCCATCCAAGACAACACCCGTTACATGATTTTGACTCTAAATCAGGTAAAAACAAGCTAATTTTTTAAATTCTGTCTTTTCTAGTATTTGATATTTTATTTGGTGTTGTTTACTCTGTTTTTTCATATCCACCCTACCCTGTCTTTGTCTTTTTCTGTTACTTTGAAATTCCTAAGTGACTTACTTGTTTGTGAAAATTTAATGCAAGGTTTGTTTTAAAGTTGAATAGAATTAATTTTAATATAGTTATTTTAAATTATTAGCTGTAATTGTAATATGCGATCAAATTAAACTCAACCATAAATCTTTATTGTATGAACAGTACTAATCAAATTATTGACTTATACATAAATCATTCCACGGTTAATACCGAATGAAGTAGCAAATGAGAGTGTCATTTCCAAACCAAAATATGAGAATGACCAGAGAATTTTAACTTCTTGAGTATAGGGCAAGTGTACAGATAAAGCAGAATGAAGTGTGGTATGTTACGTTTAGTTCTTTTTTATTTTGTTTTATCCTATCGGTAAAGTCAAAGTGTTCAAAATTTTTAATTTTATGTCCAATTCTGTTTATTTTTTAAATAGATTGAACTTATAATAGAACTTATATGTAATGTTCCATCTCGTTCTAGTTAATCTATCAGATATTAGCTTAGTTCTGTTTTTACTTAATAATTCTGGTAAGCAACTTTCTCAGATCACTTTTCTTTCTTACTTCCTGCTTAGAGACTAACTTTCTTAGCTATTAACGAGTAGGTTAAAATATTTTTAGTTCACATCTGTTATTTATATTTTACTTTTATTATCCCGACATACAAGTAGTTAATTTAATTCCAATACGTACAATTACATTAGCTTTTGTCCATATTATCTGTTATCATTATAGCATGTTATGTATAAAATATGAGGAAAAAGTTAAAAATAACTGTAGCATATAGGGTTAAAAAGAATAATACTTCTACTCCTTATATGCGATACCCATTTTTTTATTTTCTCCTTATATTCTGTGTTATAATTCTAAGAAAAGACCTTATAAAAATAACATATATAAGACAGTGACTAAATGGAAAACAAATGTGCATATATACTTTAAACTAAAAAATAAACTATATAAAGACCATATAAAAAATAAATGTCATGTATAAGAAGAAAATTTTAACCTTGCATGCAAATATTAGTCTTTAATTGTAGATATTTGCCCTGCTATTATTCCTCGCATGACTTATGTGAGCAACACTTTCTACGCCCTAGTCACGTTTGTATTTTAAAAGCATCTTATGTGGGGCGTTTCATGCAAGGATTGTAAATAGTACTTATTGATTGTTTTTCATCTATGCTTTTTAACTTTGTTGTATTGGGAAAGTATTGCTATTATGGTAATAGAAAAGAAAAAAAATGGTTCGGTATGTTTGAATTTGTGTTGGCACCCTTTAACTTTATAGTTTATTTTGGAGTCTCAAATAGCACTTTCTAAGTGAGATTTCATTTTTCAATGTACAAATTGACTCGCATATTGAGCTCAAGACCCAAATTATGATATGCCACTTTTCCTCGACATTGTTTGGTATTCCTTATTCCATAAAGGAGAAATTAATTTCAAAGGATACAATTTTCTTTTACTCATAACAACTCACATGGTAAAGGTTATTTAAAGAGGGAAGGGAAAAAACTATACTGAAAGTGTCAAACCACAGTGATGCCTGCAGAATATAATTTATAAGATTATTACCTGGTGGGGGTGTTTGGTGTGACTTGGCCCCAATTGACCTATATTCATTCAAAGCCTATAAGGAATATCATATTAGTGTGTAGTTTTGATTTGCCATTCTTAATTCGTCCAAAGCTCATAAATAATCGCTAGGAAATTCATTTCACATTTCCAAGGTCATAGTTTGAAAATGTATTAAGGAGATCAAATAGGTACAAGTTGCTGTTCAAAGGCTAACTGACCTATGGCTAGCACCAAAATTGAAACTCACTTTGGAACAGTTATAGCAAAGTCACATATATAGGATTTCCCATTATGCTGTTGTTGGTGGTGTCTTGACACTTTGACATAAAGATGTGTTCTTAAACTTTTAATTGATCCAATGAGAAGAAACAAGCATTGCCAAAACCATTGTGGCAAACGGTTTTAAGTGGAAAGCTGAAAGCTTAAAGGGAAGTAGCCAGATAGGGTAGAAGAAGTATGATTTAGACTACAAGAATGTATATAAAATTGGGCACTAGTGACACGCCTGAATAGAAGAATCATCATAATTGTGTGAACGCGCATACCACAAGCAATGACCCGTCAGATAGTTATAATAATAATGCATTAAAAAGCAAGGTACCGACCAAACAAATGAAGTTTTGTCCATAATCTACAATAAAGAAAACCCATTTGTTGACAACGACTCTCTCCGCTGTCGTATTAGGGAATATTGTCAAAGACATAAACAGCTAATTTACTAAGGACAGTTCATAATAAGACACGAAGTAATGCAGAATAATCTGCATACAAAGGTGAAAATTAAGCTTCAAACTTCAAACATTAGTTTACAAACCAATTTGAATACCTTTGCTGTTTGTTATACAGAGGCCGAGACTCCAAACAAAAATAAAAAATAAAAGGGTAGATAAGCATTGCAAGAAAGTCAATAAAAGACAGGGTTCCATGTCTTTGTCTGAGCTTAGCTGGTCCCGAATCCTACCACTAATTAGTCAGCGTTAACATAAATGCGAGCAATGTTTTTTTAATAAATAGATACTTTATTTTGAACATCTTCTTTATTTTTGTGTAAAGATTGTAAAAAAAATATGTAGCTATTATTTGTTTGATGATTAAGCAATCCCAACAGGTTAAATTTATTAATTGGACTTTTCACATTTGTGGGTTCCCAAAAGTGGTGCCTAGGAATACATCCAAAAATCCCAACAAGTAAAAAAGAGGGTTCCCCCCATGAAAACAATGCCAAATTCCTATTTTTGCTGTTTTCCCAAGCGCCAAACAGACCTGATCAGAATAAGCAATGAGGAGATGACAAGAATTAATCAGATTGATGTTGAAAGATGGAGAAATTCATCATTCAAACCCTGCCAATCATTCTTCGTGTGAAAGTTTTTCATGTCCTTTTTGGTGGATGGGGTTTGGCATAAGGCAATGGACTGAGGATGGTCCTCCTTGTTCAATCTATTACATGTTTCATTATTCCTTTGTAACGGATGATTATTAAGCACACGCATGACGCAAAAACTCTTTTCTCTTTTCCATCTTGGACTTTGGTATCTACTTTTTGAGGCGAATCTTATGTTCAACCTCTGAGATGCAAAGAGTGGGGGATAAAAACCAAAGAATAATTCAAATGCTTCATCTTTTTAACCACTTGTGCAATATTACCACTTTTATCTTCTATATTACATTGTTGCTGAGGATTCCGATGCTAAAGATGACCTTGAGATTTATGGAAGGACTAGACAGTAAGAGTGAATATGGTGATGCATTGAAACACAGCACGGGTAGTTTTAATTATTTTCTCATCTTTCCGGTTGAAGAGACTTGCCATCAACAGGCTAACTTGAGCCATATTCAGTCATTACCGTAGTCCTTCCATCCTTATTCTTTTGGTCATAAAAATGGCCCTTCCACCAGGAAAGGCAAAAATAATTAGACAGCCTAAGTTTAGGGACAATTTTCTTAAAACATGTTGAAAGAGCTTATAGACAGTATAAAAATAACTTAAACTCACATAAACTCTTTCTAATTTATTTCAATAACATTCCTTGGATAACCTCAATAGAAAGCAAAACCGTTTGTGAATTTGTGATAAGTTTAAAAAAACTGCTCAATTTGAATTCAAGCAGGATGCACATGACAACCTTAGCTTCTTAACAAAGAAAAATCCAACAAAAAAGAAAACAAACAAGACATTTATATAACTATATAACATACAAGTTTCATAACAGGATGGGATCAGCTCTAGTTCCCATTGAATAATGTGATAAAACATAAATGCATTCACTTAATCAAAGCGATCAGCCAAGCCCTATCTTGTATCTCCCCTCCTGCTATTGAGGTCGAAAAAGTTAAATGGGGAGGCTTCATATACGGTGGTTCAGCCAAACCCCATGAATGAACTGAACTCTGGCACTTCAAACTGCTGAAACTGGTGCTACCCTTCAAAAGATATGAGCAGAGAGCAGGAAGCAGTAGTCCAGCGTTTACAGAAAGCTCAGATTTACCACCATAGATGTTATGACAGTGAGTAACACTACACAATTATATAACTACACACCACTATAAAGTAGGGAAAGAGAAAAGATAAGATACAAAAAGAGGAAAAGAAAAAAAAAAAAAAAAAAAGATAACCCAGGTGAAATGTCAGGCTTCTAGTTATGTATGGGCTCCTGTAGGTAAGGTTAAGTAGTATATTAACAGTTAGAATTAACGAAGTTCTTTATCTCCTCCATGAGGCAATAGAAATGATCATTATTAGGCAAGAAGTAGAAACCAATAGTGGCCTCCTTGAGGTAAAGAAGTTTGACATCTTGGCCAGAATTCTTGAGACCTTCCACATATTCTAATTGCCAGTCTTGGAGAAGATCCAAACCAGCCACGCAAACAAGACTTTTGGGGAACTTGAGTCCTGCAAGATTTTTACCCTTGGGGCCAAATGGGTTACAAGCAGGATGGTCTCTATCCTCCCCTTCAGGAAGAAAAGCTCTCCAATACCAGTCACGGTCTTGCAGCCTCACAAAGTATTTCCCATCCAGTTTCTTCTCTGACTCAGTTCGCTTCTCCCCGCCAAACAATGGGTGAAGAAGAATATCACCTAGCACCTCAATATCTTCCTCAGCAGCCCTCACAGCCACATGATGAGCAATATTACCACCAGAACTATCCCCAGCCAAGTACACATAAACCTTAGAATCCTTTCCACTCTGAAGCCACTTCCTTGACTTAACCCACTTAAGCGCAGCCCAACCATCATCATATGCACATGGATAACGGTGCTCCGGCGATCGCCTGTAATTTACAGAAACCACCACAGCTTTACAGATGTTCACAAGGCGGCGACAGAAAGTGTCATAGATAGCACTATTAGCAGACGAATGAGAGAAGCTTCCACCGTGGAAGAAAATAATGACAGGAACAATCTGTGTGGTGCTCAAGGGCTTTTCCAGCTCTATAAAGCCACATCGAGCCTCAGTTTCATAAGCTAACTGATACACCCTATTAAAGAGACCAGTGTTTCGATCAACATGATCAAAAGAGAATACCCCATCAACGGGAACTATATTAGCCGGGACCTTGCGGTCAAGGAACTCTGCCAACTCTCGATTGAATGTTCCATCAGCTCGTCTTAGTAGATTGTAGGCCAGCTTGAAATTGGAGATAAGCACCCAGGTATTGAGTGGAACAACACTCTACAAAGATCGAAGATATTATTAGAACCCTGTCTATATGAACTAAGCATTCCATTTAACCCTGCAGTACTCCTAAAAAACACTTCAGATTGATTCCTCTATCAGATAACACAGACACTAAGCTGAAACCCCCCTCCCCTAGAAAAGCTAAGCATTATCAAAAGGAAAGTTGAGAAATTACAACAGCAAAAAGGATTATAAAGGGGGTTTGTGCCTAAATGAACCTTACAAATCTTCAGGAAAAGAGGGGAATTTTCAAATCAAACCCGAAATTTCCAACTTACCAGAACAAGAAGCCCGAGGCCTACATGGGAGTAATAGAAAGTACAAGAAAAACTAAACGAACCCCAAAAACCACATCATCCTATAGGTGCCATCATTATTAGCTAACAGAAAAAAGAGAGAGAACCCTCTAACTCAGAGATGTTCCCCAACGAATATGCAGTCCTTGGCCCTTGCAATTGAAGTTAAAGATTAAAACTTTCCCCCTTCAACCCCTCAACCAATCATCAACAAAACCACACAACACTCAATCAGAAGAAACAAAACAAGGAAAACACAGAAACATATACATAATGCCACCTTCAGACAAAAAAAAAAAACCAGATGGATGTTACCTTAGATTCATTTAGGTTGACTTCATTACTGCCAGTCATGTCTCTTTTCCCTCTCTTATATCCACAGCAAAAACGAAAAACCAAATCCACAGAAACACAGTTAAAAAGAAACACTGATCCTCACACTCACGATAACTAACCCCTTGTGCCGCCTCATAATATTAATAATGGAAAAATATAGATAAGAAGAGAAAATAAAAACGATTAAAGTAACGCGGGGAGAAGAACCAGAGAAAAAAGCAGTGAAGGGTATCTCTCCCTTTGATTGATTTGTCGGTTAAATAAGGTAGAGAGAGTTGTGTGTATGTGGAAAGAAAGGGAACTCGAAGAGATCACAAATGATAAGAAGGAGTGGTGGAGAGAGAAACACAACAGAAAGGTGTAGAGAGAGAGAGAGAGAGAGAGAGAGAGGTGAAGAAGAAGAGAAGAAGAAGGAGAAGGAAAGAGGATGAGAGTCAAACGCAAAGGAACGACGGGGATGGACGGAGACGAGAGAGACGACAAAGCTGGCGGCCGAATTAAACTGTTTATATGGGTCCCACCATTTAAAAAAAAAAAATATATATATATATATATATGGCGAAATTAATTAGAAAATAACTTTTTATTTAATTGAGTGTGCTATTTTGGAAAGATAATTTTGGGGTTCTATTTTTCTTTTTATTTGTTTATTTATTTATCCATTTTCGTTGTTTTGTTTGTATGCTTGTGTATTGAGAGCGAGGGAGAAATGACTTGTGACGTACAAGCTTGTGTACAGAAGCTTTCTTGATGGCTATTGACAACCCCGTTTTGGCCTTGTTTACAATATCTGTCTTCGGGGTAAACTTTTCTCCTCTTCCACTTTTTAGAATATGAGTTTCAACATTTATGATCATCCATTTTTTACTCTTTTTTTTCTTCCTGTAAGAGGGGACTAAGTTACTAATTTTAGAACTCCAACTTTTCCTGTAAATATTACAATAATAATTTAATAATGATCTTGATTTTTAATACTTTAATACAATAATAAATATTTTGTTATGACTTGAACACTCAAGAGTGCACCTATAAGAACTAATATTTGCACTGATTTTTATTCATTTCTCTTGGTCACTTTTTACTTACTTGATTAATACATCTTGCTTGAGTAACGAGTTTTATATTGGTGATCTTTCCTTGTGCTTATAATAAAAAAGATCTAAAAAACTAGTATATTGTATTTATTGTTTATTCATTAAAAAAATAGTTAAGTAATTAAAGATATTTTTACAAAAAAAATTATCATGTCAAAGTAGTGATAGATTTTGACTATAAATTTAAGGAGAATCATAAATATTGATCAAATGATTTAACTAAAATTTATATTTCTCAAATAAAGTCTCAAAATAATATATTAATGCAAAGTAGTAATAAATATACAAAAGATTAATTATACCTTCATTTAAAGTGTTGTTATTCGTTCTTTTAAAGACTTGAAGTTATCAATAATTGAATCAGAGTTAGAAGTTTCAGTTAACAATGAAAGAAACATTTTGAACTAAATAGATTGAAATCACCTTAAATGTTTTTTCCTAAGAAATGAAATAATTTTCAAGATTACATTAATATAGACCCCATTTTAGCTAAACTCTTCGAACTTTATCTCTTTAATTCGAAAGATATTCTCAAATTTGAAAATATTTTCCGCAGTCACATTCTAAAGAATTAACATCAAATTCATCAATTACTTTTTGAATCTTTAAAGGTTGCTTATCATATTCTTTAACTATGTGATATTTGCTTATTGAAACTTTGTAATTTTCATCATTGTCAATTTTTTCTCTTAAAAAATGAATTGATTGTCTTGTACTTAACCATTGTAACCTTGTTGATAATTGATAATTATACCTTCAAAACATAAAAGTTTCACTATAAAAAGATTATAAAAATAAAACTTTTTGTCTTATGTAATAAAATTAAAGACTAATTGGTCATATTATACAATTTCTATTAACACACTAATTTTTATTTAAATAAATGAGTCTAATATTCACATTATTTGAACTTTTGAAACTTAATAAAATAACAATATTAATCAATAAAAACATTATAGGATAAAAATCAATACAATAAAATTAATAATAGAATAGTGATAATAACATATATTCTACACAAATGAAAATTATAGAAGAATTATTGATATATATATATATATGTCATTTTTTTTTTATTTCTGACAAATAAAAGTTTCATCTACGTAAATGACAAAAAAAAATGTACACTTTTTTTGTTGTAACTTATGACTATTTTAGCTTATGACTTGGTATTTATAAATAAGTTTAATAACTGAAAATAAATAATAAAAAAAGAGGTGCACTTTTTGCTAGAATTGCAATTTGCAAATAATGCACATCTATGTTTTACAGAAGTAAAAATGTGGAAGGAGAAGTTGAAAAACTTCTTCTTAAATAACTTTTCTCTTTCTCACTTACGTGTTATTTGTTTTATATATAATTTTTTTTTTTAACTTTTAAAATTCTTAGGAGAGTCGTAGTCTCCTCTTCTAAGAAAGTCAATAATATGTCAAAGACAATTCAAGAAGAATCTTATAAAAGTAGATAAAAGCATATTTTTAAAAGAATTTTTGTAAAAAAAATATATACTATATTTCAATATTCAATAATTTTACTCGTAGTATAAAAAACCGGCTTACTGGCCTATAAATTAATTAGGAGTTTGGATTCTTTTTATATATTTATTTATTTTTAAATTATGTTTGAAGTTAATATCATTCAATTTTGTTTCAAAGTTAATTCCTCGGGGATCCATGTTTGTGTGTTTATCCGTGTTCGGCTATCATTACATATATTTAAAAATTTGTTGTTAAAATTAATTCAAACACCCATGTTAACTATACCTACTCTTTTTCATGTTATGGTATAATCTTTATTTTGTTTTCATCGTTTATAAATATAATTAAATTCATAAATTTAATATTTTATTTTTTATTTATAATATAAAAACATTTTATTTTCATATAATTTACTACAAATTATATCATGCAATGTTTATATTAATATTTTGAAACTACATATAACTTAATTAAGCATAATATATAAATTTATATAGTTTATCCAATTTTCTGGCCAAATTTATTTCTAACGTTTCATTAATCCGATCACGATTATTTCAACTCTGGTTGAACTTCAAATTATGATGATTCTTGCATGTCACAACTTTACTAAGAATTTGTATACTGTTACGACAGGTTTAAATTTGCCTTAAATTAATTTAAACATTAATTTATTTTAACGTTATAAGTTATATCTTTTATATTTAAATATAATTTTATGAAAATTTTAAGCGCATTAAGTTCGATAATTCGTTTGACTTGACAAGTGTTTTCTTAATCTTCAGCACAATATCCTCTACAAAGTCTTAAAAATATTAATTAATTTTGTTTTTTATTTCAACCATTTTTAATATTAATATAAAAATTAAACAATTAACATATTGATTATTTTTAATATTTTTTTTAAATACGAGTGATTTAGTAAAAAGAAATTATAATTGACATGGACATATTTTGTTTACTCGACAATTAAATACAAGAATCAATCATTTAAAATATAATACTGTAAAGGCTTTTATATCAGAGTGTAGTCACAAATTATCGTATTATTGAAAATTATTTTAAAAATATAGTTTTAAAACCTTAAAATTTTCATTAGAAAACCAAGTTATGTTTTGATCCTTTAAAGTCTTTCGGAATTCGAACAATTATATTCAATTTGGTTTAGAATTGAAAAGAAAATAAAGAAAAGTAACTTCAAATTTTAAGATAAAAAAAATTTAAAAATTTAAACTCAACTTTAAAATTGAAAATAAAAACTGAAAAAAGAAATATTTTGTGGTATTAAACGAGGCAAATAGTGAAGTTGATTTATGAAAAGCGAGTAAAGAAGGAGATCCAACACAGTAAAAGTGAAAGGCACGAAGGTAACGTAAGTTAATGATTTGGGTGGGTATGTTATAACTTATTTCTATAGAATTAACATGAAAAGGTTAATAATATAATTTAAAAAGTTTTGTTTAGTATTGTTTGTAAAGGTATTAAGCGAATAGGGACAGTAGAGGTGGAAGTAGTGAAAACATGGTGGGGCGATAGTTGTATCTAAATGGAAACTCTTTAAGCTATAAGGAAGGAGACAAATCAGTTTCCCGGCGTGCGGCCGACGCCAAGGCACGTGGCGACAAAGGGTTCCGTCTCACTGCTTTTTCCTTTTGCCAAACGCGCCCTCAGAAGGGGATTCCCGGAAGCACCCCTCAGGGATCGTGAAATTCCCGGAAATGCCACTGAGCATGACAGGTGTTTTGTCCACTACCGTGTAGCGCGTGACGGCATGTTTTTTGTCAGAAAGGAGGCTCTTTTTTTTTAATCTATAAAAAAGAAAAGTTGGAGAGGGGTTTTGGATTTTGTCGTATTCGATGGAACCGGTTGCATTGTATCTGTCTCTGTCTCTCTCTCTCTCATTGTGCGCTACGAACAAGTGGCGTACTTACGGAGCTTCGGTTCATTGGGTGGGTCCCACTCTCCCAAGTCTTATTCACAAAACGAGTTTGTACGATGATCGAGGGTCCCTTCCGATGTGGGACCTTCTTCTAGGAGACGCTCTGACCCCTCCCTCCCAAGGGGCGTGTGTCTCTCCCACGGACCCACCCTTCATCACCGCCGTTGCTTTTCTCTACTTAAATTAATTAAGTGCGTGAGAGAGATTTTGAGATTTTTCCAATGGGAACAGAGATAGCCATCCTATTCCAAGTCCTTCCAATGATAGATTCATAGATTTGGACCATTGGGTCATTCGACTTCATGCAGATGTGATTATATATATCCGTTTTTCTTTTTTAAAAATATAATATGTTTTCATTTGATTATATCTTACTCAATTGTGGTAATCCCACGATTCTTTTCCTACCCTTATCGCCAAAAGATGGGGTTTTCTTTTTGTTGCTTTTTTCATTCTCCCTTTCCTTTTTGCTTGGTTCTATTCTATCTTTTCCGCATATGTATTATCCTGCCCATCGATCCTCCTCTTTTTTTCAAGGGCCCCTATCATTTTATCGCTCCCTTGGAGCAGTAAAGTGAATTTCTACTCTCATAATTTACTGCTTTTATTGTCTTCTAAGAAACTTCATGAAAGACCTATATATAGTGTTATTTAGACGTGTTAGTATAATATATATATCCGGAATATGGGAAAATATGTTTTTTATGAATAGTTTGAATGTTGACTGCCAATTCAAAAAACTGAAAAATAAAATATGAACAATCATTCAGAATTTCAAAATATCTGCTTGCCTAAAGAAAACATAAACCGTATACTACTTCAATGTGTATAACAGAAAAGGACATTTATGAATTACAACTCAAAAGACAAAACTGATATTTTTGCTTCATAATTCAACAACGTTAATAGGTGATAGATTGAGGTAACACATGTTAAAAGTTTTGGGTGGAAATCTTGGACCTGAAAAGA